AGAATATTCAATACTGCAACGAAACAGCAAAAACTATTCTATCTGCGAGTTTTACTGTCAACGTGTTTTTGGGTTATTTTTCCATTTTTAACTTACCCGAAAAAGTCATTGATATTATTCTATGTGAATTTGAACGAAAAATCCGTAAAACATTGCATATATGCAGACAAATCAACAGATAGAATATTCCCAACAAGATCAAACCAACACTGCAATATAAATCTTTGAGACAGCATGTCCAAACTTTTTATTGAATGTGCACAAAACCCTATATATATACACGAACCCACAGATAGAATATTCTAATATTCTATCTGTTATTTGCACCTGCAAACTCCGAAATTTTCGTTTTTGTAGTTTCCCAGAAGTCTTTGATAATATTCTATCTGCTAGATACTTAATATATGATATATTAAAATATAATCAAAGACGGCAATGAAAGGTACCTCGTGTGTGCGGCGGGTGCGGCTGCGGTCGTTTCATGCGCGAATCGGTTCCTCCTCTGTGTTTTGCAACGAGTGGTTGTTCCTGTGTGCGTAGTTCTATGCGTGTCTTGAATCTCTGGTTGCGGATCGCATTGTGATGGCTGCATGATTGTTGTCATGCTCTGTTGCCATGTGCGTAGAAAGATGCGGGTTAGCCACGTGATGCTGCGAAACGCATTGTAATGGCTGCATGAATGTTGCATGGGGCTGGTTTTGGGGAGGAAGCCGGAGCACCAAACCTTTTGTTTTTCCATGTAAAGTGGCTGCAGCCAGCGATGAAAGGTACCTCCTGTGTGCGGCGGGTGCGGCTGCGGTCGTTTCCTGCGCGAATTGGTTCCTCCTCTGTGTTCTGCAACGAGTGGTTGTTCCTGTGTGCGTAGTTCTTTGCGTTTCTTGAATCTTTAGATTGCGGATCGCATTGAAATGGCTGCATGATTGTTGTCATGCTCTGTTGCCATGTGCGTAGAGAGATGCGGGTTAGCCACGTGATGCTGCGAAACGCTGTGTAATGGCTGCATGAATGTTGCATGGGGCTGGTTTTGGGGAGGAAGCCGGAGCAGGAAACCTTGTGTTTTTCCATGTGAAGTGGCTGCAGCCGGCGATGAAAGGTACCTCCTGTGTGCGGCGGGTGCGGCTGCGGTCGTTTCATGCGCGAATCGGTTCCTCCTCTGTGTTCTGCAACGAGTGGTTGTTCCTGTGTGCGTAGTTCTATGCGTGTCTTGAATCTCTGGTTGCGCATCGCATTGGAATGGCTGCATGATTGTTCTCATGCTCTGTTGCCATGTGCGTAGAGAGATGCGGGTTAGCCACGTGATGCTGCGAAACGCATTGTAATGGCTGCATGAATGTTGCATGGGGCTGGTTTTGGGGAGGAAGCCGGAGCACGAAACCTTGTGCTCTTCCATGTAAAGTGGCTGCAGCCAGCGATGAAAGGTACCTCCTGTGTGCGGCGGTTGCGGCTGCGGTCGTTTCATGCACGAATCGGTTCCTCCTCTGTGTTCTGCAACGAGTGGTTGTTCCTGTGTGCGTAGTTCTATGCGTGTCTTGAATCTCTAGTTCCGGATCGCATTGGAATGATGGCTGCATGATTGTTGTCATGCTCTGTTGCCATGTGCGTAGAGAGATGCGGGTTAGCCACGTGATGCTGCGAGACGCATTGTAATGGCTGCATGAATGTTGCATGGGGCTGGTTTTGAGGAGGAAGCCGGAGCACGAAACCTTGTGTTTTTCCCCTCCTGTTTCCTCCTCTGTGTTCTTCAACGAGTGGTTGTTCCTGCGTGTGTAGTTCTGTGCGTTTCTTGAATCTCTGGTTGCGCATCGCATTGGAATGGCTGCATGATTGTTGTCATGCTCTGTTGCCATGTGCGTAGAGAGATGCGGGTTAGCCACGTGATGCTGCGAAACGCATTGTAATGGCTGCATGAATGTTGCAGCTGGCTCTCGTAAATAGTATTGGAGTTGCTGCATCAAGGCCGCGACAGTGATTTGTCAGCAGATTTTTTCATTTTTGGCGCTCAAAATTGCCTTTGAAAAGTCCTTTTAAAAAGTGCTTTAAAATCGTCTTTTCTTCGCTTTGGCGTCGAGATCCGGTCTTGGAGTTGCAATTGCCAACGCCGTTGCGCGTAGTTCTTTTGTGTTTTGCAACTCAGTCTCTGCAGATCGCATTGTAATGGTTGCGTCAAGGTTGCTTGGTGGCGCTGCTGCATGCGTAATACTATCGTCTTTTGCAGCTGGATCTCGTAAATAATGTTGGAGTGGCTGCATCAAGGCTGCAACAGTGATTTGTCAGCAGATTTTTTCATTTTTGGCGCTAGTAATTTTCCTTTTAAAAGTCCTTTTAAAAAGTGATTCAAAATCGTCTTTTTTTTCGCTTTGGCGTCGAGATCCGGTTTTGGAGCTGCAATTCCTGTTGTGATTATGTACAAGAAAACTTCTCTGTGTAAAGACTTTTTTCTGTAAAAGCTTGCTGTGTGTAAAAGATTTTGTGTGTAAAGCTTGCTGTGTGCAAAAGCTTCTTCCTGTGTAAAAGCGTCTCTGTGTAAAAAGTTTCTGCGGGTGTAAACGCTTGCCGTGTGTAAGAGCACTGTGCGTAAGTGTTCTGTGTGTAAACGCTTGCTGTGTGTGAAAGCTTGCTGTGTGTAAAAGCTTCTCTGTGTAAAAGTCCTTTTAATGTGTAAAAGCTTCTCTGTGTGTAAAAGCTTCTCTGTTTAAAAAGCTTGCTGTGCGTGTAAACGCTTGCCATGTGTAAAAGCACCGTGTGTAAGTGTTCTGTGTGTAAACGCTTGCTGTGTGTGAAAGCTTGCTGTGTGTAAAAGCTTCTCTGTGTAAAAGCTTGTTGTGTGTAAAAGCTTCTCTGTTTAAAAAGCTTGCTGTGTGTGTAAACGCTTGCCATGTGTAAAAGCACTGTGTGTAAGTGTTCTGTGTGTAAACGCTTGCTGTGTGTGAAAGCTTGCTGTGTGTAAAAGCTTCTCTGTGAAGAAGCTTGCTGTGTGTGAAAGCTTGCTGTGTAAAGCTTCTCTGTGTAAAAGCTTGTTGTGTGTAAAAGCTTCTCTGTTTAAAAAGCTTGCTGTGTGTGTAAACGCTTGCCATGTGTAAAAGCACTGTGTGTAAGTGTTCTGTGTGTAAACGCTTGCTGTGTTTGAAAGCTTGCTGTGTAAAGCTTCTCTGTGTAAAAGCTTGTTGTGTGTAAAAGCTTCTCTGTTTAAAAAGTTTGCTGTGTGTGTAAACGCTTGCCATGTGTAAAAGCACTGTGTGTAAGTGTTCTGTGTGTAAACGCTTGCTGTGTGTGAAAGCTTGCTGTGTGTAAAAGCTTCTCTGTGTAAAAGCTAGTTGTGTGTAAAAGCGTCTCTGTTTAAAAAGCTTGCTGTGTGTGTAAACGCTTGCCATGTGTAAAAGCACTGTGTGTAAGTGTTCTGTGTGTAAACGTTTGCTGTGTGTGAAAGCTTGCTGTGTGTAAAAGCTTCTCTGTGTAAAAGCTTGTTGTGTGTAAAAGCTTCTGTGTGTAAAAGCTTCTCTGTTTAAAAAGTTTGCTGTTTGTAAAAGCTTCTCTGCGAAAGAGCTTGCTGTGTGTAAAAGCTTTCTTTGTGCAAGCTTGTTAAAAAGCTTGCTGTGTGTAAAAGCTTCTCTGCGAAAGAACCTGCTGTGTGTAAAAGCTTTCTTTATGCCAACTTTGTATCACAAAGTAGACAAAGTAGTACTGGGAAGTAGTTTGTGCAAGCTTCGTAGTACAAAGTAGTACTGGGAAATACTTTGTGCAAGCTTTGTAGTACAAAGTAGTACTGAAAGGTCTTTTGCGAGCTTTGTAGTACAAAGTAGTACTGGAACGTGTTTTGTGCAAGCTTTGTAGTATAAAGTAGTACTGGGAAGTAGTTTGTGCAATCTTTGTACTACAAAGTAGTACTGGGAAGTGTTTTGTGCAAGCTGTGTAGTACAAGTTAGTACTGGAACGTGTTTTGTGCAAGCTTTGTAGTACAAAGTAGTACTGGGAAGTAGTTTTTGCAAGCTTTTGTAGTAGACATCAGTACTGGGAAGTAGTTGACATGAAAATAGCCAAGAAGAACTTAGCTGACATATGGGAAGACATGAAATGAGATGAGAAGAGCTCAGATGAGATGAGTTGAGATGAAGTGCGAGTGTGAAGTGTGGAGTGTGGGGTGTGAAGAGTGCAATGTGAAGTGTGAGGATAGTGTTTGCTTGACGTTGCATTGCACCGGGGTCGCGCGCGGGTCATGTTCTTGGACAGCAACACTGCAACAGCTTCGCACAAAGCACGCACGCACGGGCCTGGCTGGCGCACGGCGCATGCAAGTTCTCGAAGTAGTACTGGGAAGTGATTCATGAAAGCTTAGATGACATATGAGAAGAGATGAGATGAGAAGAGATGAGCTGGGATAAGGTGAGAAGAGCTCAGATGAGATGAAGTGTGGAGTGTGAAGAGTGCAGTGTGAAGCGTGGGACGTGAAGAGTGCAGTGTGAAGTGTGGAGTGTGAAGTGTGAAGTGTGGAGTGTGAAGAAAGCACTGAGAAGTGAGAAGTGTGAAGTGTGGACTGTGAAGTGTGGAGTGTGAAGTGTGGAGTCTTAAGAGTGCAGTGTGAAGTGAAGTGTGGAGTGCGAAGAGTGCAGTGTGAAGTGTGAAGTGTGGAGTGTGAAGTGTGTAGTGTGGAGTGTGAAGTGTGCAGTGAGAAGTGTGAAGTGCGAAGTGGAGCCTCAAATGTGACGTGTGAAACAGGACAACATTTCGCAGAATGCACGCGCGCACGAGCTTGGCTGGCGCACGGCGCATGCAAGTTCTATAGATGAGAAGGTCTTATATATCCCTAAGGCAACTTCCGCCCCGCCTCGTGCGGGTACTACTGGTATAATTCAATAGAAAACAATAAACTGAACCATTTTGTAATAGAATGCAATGAATTATATATACTTATATCTGTATATATCATACCCCAGAACAGTCCAAGGGTTTCGCATTGCAAACCCCATGGGTATCTTGCTGCAGGTTTCATTCCTAAGCGGGGCTCAACAAAAACTCGGAGATTCCTCCTGTCGGGTCGCGCTGAAACCACTTGGGCCGATGGTTCCGTGCTGGGATCCGTATTGCAACTTGGAGACCTGCGGGGTGCTGGAAGAATTGATGCGAATCGTACCCTCCGGTGACATCAGCTCGCTGGGAAATCCCCGACCTAAATAGCTATGAATGGGCATCTATATATTATATGGGAAATAATTATCAAATTAAATGGGAGATTTTCCAGCAAACCATGTTCGATTGCCAGAGGGTAACTGGACTAGAAACCCAGACATCGCTGGAATTTTCCATGTATGATACCTAGTCATCTTCAACCTTTATAATCCCACCACCCTCAGACGAAATCTCCCCATCAAATGCCTAAAAAGTTAGTAAGATACAATACTCAACCAGGGGCTCTGGAGGGTGTTTCAACTCAAGGGAAAGGGATCACTCAAGAGTTATCATTTACGCAAACCCCCCACCTGCAGCTTCAAGTGCTCTTCGGACTGCGAAAAGCACCAGTCTTTAACGTCTGTGACTGCGTTGTCCTTCCTAGGCGGGAAGGACAGACATGTCCCATGCGCTGGACACAACTCTTGTCAGGACAACCGATTCCGATTCAAAATGATTCACACATCCAACAGGGTTTCCAGCTTGGCTTGGATAAAGGGGGAGAAAATTACACCGGCAAGAGGCCCCAAACAGTGTGGGGGGTAGGAAGTCAATGCACCAGATACAAGCAACGGTAGCGGTGGAACAGTAACATTATGAAAAACTTGCAGCCACAGACTGGGCCAGGTCAAAATATTTATTTTCATTTTTTTATCATTTTGGTTATCATTGCATTCATCTTTTTTTTCATTGATTTTATCATCTTCATTTTTTAATCATTTTTTTTATCATTTTTTATCATGTGTTTATCTTTTATCATTTTTTTAATCATTTTTTTAAACATTTTTTTTAAATCATTTTTTCATCATTTTTCATCATTTTTGCTTCCAGTGGTGCAAAAATTTTCCAAGAAATGGAAAATTACAATTTTCCTCGGGTGTTTTTCATTTTTTTATCTTTTTTTTTTCATTTTTTTCATTTTTTTCATTTTTTTAATCATTTTTCATCATTTTTTATCATTTTGCATCAATTCCACCACTGGAAGCAAAAATGATTAAAAAAATGAAAAAAATGATTTAAAAAAAATGATAAAAACATGAAAAAAATGAAAAAAACTCGAGGAAAATTGCAATTTTCCTCGAGTTGTTTTTTTCATTTTTTTCATTTTTTTATCATTTTTTTCATTTTTTTATCATTATTCATCACTTTTTATCATTTTTCATCAATTCCACCACTGGAAGCAAAAATGATAAAAAACATGATTAAACAATGATAAAAAAATGATAAAAAAAATGAAAAAAAACGAGGAAAATTGTAATTTTCCATTTCTTGGAAAATTTTTGCACCACCGGAAGCAAAAATGATAAAAAATGATTAAAAAAATGATAAAAAAATGAAAAAAAATGAAAAAAACTCGAGGAAAATTGCAATTTTTCATTTTTTGGAAAATTGCAATTTTCCTCGAGTTTTTTTCATTTTTTTTTCATTTTTTCCATTTTTTTCATTTTTTTATCATTTTTCATCATTTTTTATCATTTTTCATCAATTCCACCACTGGAAGCAAAAATGATAAAAAACATGATTAAACAATGAAAAAAACGAGGAAAATTGTAATTTTCCATTTCTTGCAAAATTTTTGCACCACTGGAAGCAAAAATGATGAAAAATGATAAAAAAATGAAAAAAAAAATGAAAAAAAATTGAAAAAACAATGAAAAAAACTCGAGGAAAATTGCAATTTTTCATTTTTTGGAAAATTGCAATTTTCCTCGAGTTTTTTTTTTCATTTTTTTTCATTTTTTTATCATGTTTTTTCATTTTTTTATCATTTGTCATCACTTTTTATCAGTTTTCATCAATTCCACCACTGGGAGCAAAAATGATAAAAACATGATTAAAAAATGATAAAACATGTTAAAAAAATGAAAAAAAAATCGAGGAAAATTGTAATTTTCCATTTCTTGGAAAATTTTTGCACCACTGGAAGAAAAATGATGAAACATGATTTTAAAAATGATAAAAAAATGATAAAAAAATGATAAAAAAATGATAAAAAAATGATTAAAAAAATGATTAAAAAAATGATAAAAAAAAATGAAGATGATAAAAAAAATGATGAATGCAATGATAACCAAAATGATAAAAAAAAAATGAAAAAATAAATATTTTAAAGATTTCCAATGTGTAGCTGGCTCGGTTCTTCATAACAGTAACAGATCAGGCTGGACGGCCAGACATTGACCTAGCTGCAGCAGCATGAACTTGTCTTGGCACAAGAAGCATACCAGAACCTCATACCAAGGCATCTAAGAGAATTTCAAAAGATCGTCAAGCAAAGACCTTCTATATAGAGGATCTATAAAAATCTTCATACAAAAATATCCTATCAACATCCCAGAAAAACTTTCACACAAGCACCAACGCAGGGCAGCTTTAAGATCTTAATGCAAGGACCTGCTGAGGAGAATTTCAGCAGGATCTCCACAAGATCTTCCCACAAGGACCTGCACGAGATCATGCAAGGACACCTAGAGTATTTTGCCAGGACCTCTTCAAGATTTTCTCACAAGGACCTGTGCAAGATCATGCCTGTGACAGCATTTCACTAGGATCTCCACGAGACCTTCTCGCAAGGACCTGCACAAGATCATGCACTTAGAGGATTTCACCAGGATCTCCACAAGGTCTTCCCACAAGGAATTGTAAAAGACCTTGACCAGGATCTTCATGCCAGGACTCCTAGGAGAATCTCACAAGATCGCAGTGCAGGGGCAAAGGGGGCCGAAGCGTGGGTTTCCGACGTTGCGCTGTGACGCTCCCGGGGGCGGGTGGCGCTGCGACGCTGCGACGCTGCGACGCTCCGGGGGGCAGGTGGCGCTGCGACGCTGCGACGCTGCGACACTGCGACGCTGCCGTTGGGCCAGTGACGCTGCGACGCTGTTGGCGCTGCGACGCTGCGACGCTGGAGTGACGCTGCGACGCTGTTGGCGCTGCGACGCTGCGACGCGGGAGCGACGCGGGAGCGACGCTGCGACGCTGTTGGCGCTGCGACGCTGCGACGCTGCGTCGCGGGGAGCGACGCTGCGACGCTGTTGGCGCTGCGACGCTGCGACGCTGCGACGCGGGAGCGACGCTGCGACGCTGTTGGCGCTGTTGGCGCTGCGACGCTTCCTTCTGCAAGAGTGCACACGGCGTTGCGTCGCTGCGCGACACGGAAACCCCCATTGAAGATCGTCAATGAATGTAGAAGTTTATATATAACGGGGCTGAAAGAATTAAACCCTTATTGAAGATCGTCCATGAATGTAGAAGTTTAACGGGGCTGGGGAGAATTAAACCCTCATTGAAGATCGTCAGTGAATGTAGAAGTTTAACGGGGGTGGGGAGAATTAAAACCTCATTGAAGATCGTCAATGAATGTAGAAGTCTAACGGGGCTGGGGAGAATTAAAACCTCATTGAAGATCGTCCATGAATGTAGAAGTTTAACGGGGGTGGGGAGAATTAAACCCTCGTTGAAGATCGTCAATGAATGTAGAAGTTTAACGGAGCTGGGGAGAATTAAAACCTCATTGAAGATCGTCGATGAATGTAGAAGTTTAACGGGGCTGGGAGAATTAAACTCTCATTGAAGATCGTCAATGAATGTAGAAGTTTAACGGGGCTGGGAGAATTAAACCCTCATTGAAGATCTTCAATGAATGTAGAAGTTTAACGGGGCTGGGAAGAATTAAACCCTCATTTAAGATCGGCCATGAATGTAGAAGTTTAACGGGGCTGGGAGAATTAAACCCTCATTTAAGATCGTCCATGAATGTAGAAGTTTAACGGGGCTGAGGAGAATAAAACCCTTATTGAAGATCGTCCATGAATGTAGAAGTTTAACGGGGGTGGGGAGAATTAAACCCTCATTGAAGATCGTCCATGAATGTAGAAGTTTAACGGGGCTGGGGAGAATTAAACCCTCATTGAAGATCGTCCATGAATGCAGAAGTTAAACGGGGCTGGGAGAATTAAACCCTCGTTGAAGATCGTCAGTGAATGTAGAAGTTTAACGGGGGTGGGGAGAATTAAAACCTCATTGAAGATCGTCAGTGAATGTAGAAGTCTAACGGGGCTGGGGAGAATTAAAACCTCATTGAAGATCGTCCATGAATGTAGAAGTTTAACGGTGGTGGGGAGAATTAAACTCTCATTGAAGATCGTCAATGAATGTAGAAGTTTAACGGGGCTCGGGAGAACTAAACCCTCATTGAAGATCGTCCATGAATGTAGAAGTTTAACGGGGCTGGGAGAATTAAACCCTCATTGAAGATCGTCAATGAATGTAGGGGCTGGGAGAATTAAACCCTCATTGAAGATCTTCAATGAATGTAGAAGTTTAACAGGGCTGGGGAGAATTAAACCCTCGTTGAAGATCGTCAATGAATGTAGAAGTTTAACGGAGCTGGGGAGAATTAAAACCTCATTGAAGATCGTCCATGAATGTAGAAGTTTAACGAGGCTGGGAGAATTAAACCCTCATTGAAGATCGTCAATGAAGGTAGAAGTTTAACGAGGCTGGGAGAATTAAACCCTCATTGAAGATCGTCAATGAATGTAGAAGTTTAACGGGGCTGGGAGAATTAAAACCCTCATTGAAGATCTTCGATGAATGTAGAAGTTTGAAGGGGCTGGGAGAATTAAACCCTCATTGAAGATCTTCAATGAATGTAGAAGTTTAACGGGGCGAGGTAGTGTTCAGAGGGGGTCGCTGGCTTGATCTTCGAAGATGCAACATATATTCAAAGGGGGTGGCGGGGCTGATGTCTCAAGGTGCAACGTATTGTTCAGAGGGGGTTGGGGAGTTGATGTCTTGTGATGGTGAAGATGCAACATAGTGTTCAGATGGGGTTCCAGGGCTACTGTCTCAGCTTGTCCGGTGGCTTCTCGGCTTCTCGGCTTGTCCGGTGGCTTCTCGGCTTCTCGGCTTCTCGGCTTCTCGGCTTGCCCGGCGGCTTCTCGGCTTCGCGGCTTCTCGGCTTCTCGGCTTCTCGGCTTCCGGCGGCTCCTCGGCTTCGCGGCTTCTCGGCTTCTCGGCTTGCCCGGTGGCTTCTCGGCTTCTCGGCTTCTTGGCTTCTCGGCTTGTGCCGGGCTTCTCGGCTTCTCGGCTTCTCGGCTGTCTCGGCTTCTCGGCTTGTGTCGTACTTCGCGGCTTCTCGGCTTCTCGGCTTCTCGGCTTGTGTCGGGCTTCTCGGCTTCTCGGCTTCTCGGCTTCTGGTCGCATTTCTGGGCCCCTTTTGCCCGTGCTTTGCAAGATCGTCATAAAAGGACCTTCTGCTGCCGGAGAGGATCTTAGAAGATCTTGATACAAGAGCCTTCCAAGAGCCTCTCACAAGAGCTTTCATACAAGCACCTCTACGACATGGCATCTGCAAGATCTTCATCTCACCAGGATCTCCACAAGATCTTCTGTTAAGGACCTGTACAGGATCATGCAAGGACCTCTTAGAGAGGACTTCACCAGGAACAAGAGCTTCTCAAAAGGACCTGTGCAAGATCATGCAAGCACCTCTTAGAGACAAGATCATGCAAGGACCTCTTACAGGAGTTCATCAGGATCTTCACAGCATCTCACAAAGACCTCTACAAGACCTTGGTCTAGATCTTCCTATTATATTACGGACCTCTGAGACTACACTTCTGCATCTTGAAACTCTTGCAAGATCTTCATAGAAGGACCTTCCAGAGACCTTATAAATCTCTGTACCAAGACATAAGAAAATCAACTAAAAAATCAGAACCGCGCCACAACGAGGGCGATCCGACACGCACAAAGTCACGAGAGGGTTGCGCGAGCCATGTCAAAATTCGCACTGCACCACAGCGAGAGCGATCCAACACCCACCAAGTGCTGATAGTGTTGCACGAGCCATGTCAAAATCAGCGAGAGCGATCCAATTCGCATCAAGGGTTGTGCCGCGAGCGATAGCAAAATTCGCACCGCGCCACAACGAGAGTGATCCGACACGCACAAAGTCACGAGGGGGTTGCGTGATCACATGTTAGATTTACGCAAAACAATGCATGCACCACGAAAAATGAACGTTGAAAAAGGCAAAAACGTCGTTTGACCGAGGTCTCAGCCACTTTCAGCCTGCCGCACAGAATCATCATCATGTCCAAAATCAAGCCACGCCTGCCAACGATTTAGCAACGTGCAAAAAGTGCCACGCCAGCTAAGCCGCCGGTAAAAAAATGTGCGATGTCTTGCAACTGTCACGCAAAACCACGTCCAGACCTCAAAATGCACCGGATGTCCCACGCCTGCGACACGAAATGGACATAGCTAAAAAAACGAGCACGGTGCGCTAGTAAACACGAGAGAAACGGAACAGAGCAAAGCCAGCCACGCACTTTGCGCGAGCCTGCGCAGTCGAAGTGCATATGGACATCTCACAAGCACACTGTATGCGAGAATTTACTTACAGCAAAAATGCCGGGGGCTAGAAAGCGTACCCTGATCTAACCCCGGCCTTAACTCTTACCGTCAGAACCCCTCAGTGTAGACACACTGTTTGGGGAAAAACTATCACGACATACAACACACAATATATGCCATAATATATCCCCCTGATATATGGATGCTATAATATGGATATCAAGTCCCTATTGGGTCCCTATTAGATCCCAACATCTGGTACTTCAAAGAAACAGCTGTTATCATCTGTTCTGCTTTGATTTCCATGACATTGATGGAACCCTCTCTGAACATAATTCTCCCACAAAACACTATGTCAATTGCTACCTGGATCCCCAAACAACCAGAAATTCAAATGGTTGTTTCCCCAAACAACCATTTGTTATGTAGGGATTCTTCACTACCATAGGGAAACGACTTATCTTAGTTACTTATGGTTGTTTCGGGTTCCAGATACATCGTTTTTGTCAGGGGTCAATACTGGTGGACTGCTCTCTGCTCGCTTGACCGATGCCGGAGTGGATGGAACAACGTCAATGAAGGTTTTGTGGTAGCGGAAACCAGCCATGGCACTACTGTCTGTCGATGTTCGGCAAAGGACGAACCCGTCGGGCACTCACTTCAGTCACTGACAAACGGCCTGAAAAATGGGAATATTGTCCCTGGTCAACATGTCTGCAAGTTCTACTGCAAGGTTTGGTGATTAAAAAACCTAGGCATATTCAAGAGTTCTTCAAATTCTGTCTTCGACCATTGCAGCAAACCATCCACTTTTCTACCATAACCAGGCCATCATGGCCATCATGGCATGGCCGTAAATCCAACAGAGGCTTCGAGTACATATGATATTTATATTATAATAATAATAATAGTGATAATAGTAATAACAATAATAATAATAGTGATAATAATAATAATAGTAATAATAATAGTAATAATAATAATAATATATGTGTGTGTATGTGTGTTTTGTTTATATATATATATTCCCCAGGAAATCATGCAACTAGCTTTTTCAATAAAATCGCTCAAAAACTGACATGGAACCCAATGCAGGCCCAAACTGAACCCAAACTGCACCCTGAAACAGCCAACATGGAATTTGAACAAGTTATCACAAAGCGATCTGCAACCTTGAAGGGTGATTTGAAGGTTAACCTGGAACCCAAGTGGTTTTTCAGGCGTTTTTCTTGAAAATTCCATGTTAGCGACTTTCGGGCGACAATACTTTTCATTTATTCATTTATATATATATATATATCAATATATTCATATATTAATATAGTTATTAATATATGTATGATAGATATAATCATATAATCGTATAATGTGGTAAACCCATTGTCATAGTCACCATCCCTAAAATCATCATACATGTGTGCTATAAACCATCCCCTAAAAAAGGTAGGTGTCTTATTGGGTTTCCCACATTATACAATTATAATTGTAAGTAGGACTGGAATCTGTTTTGCTTGACAACCATGGGGTGCGCCATGCCAAGGATTGCCCTTTGGCGCGCCACTCTTGGCACATGACCAAAATGCTATGGTGAAGATGACCCGAAAGTACATCTTACCCTCTGGTAAACCTACAAAAAGCTATGGAAAATCACCATGTCTAATAAGTAAATCAACTATAAATGGCCATGTTCAATAGTCATGTTAAATTACCAGAGGGATCCTAGAAGGTATGTATGATGATAACTGTGATGATGACAGGAAAGTGGCGGAAGTCGCCCACATCACCGCCGCCATCCTCGCAATTTAGTACGTGGCTAGCTTTACCACGTGAAATAAGCCAGTTAGATTGGTGGGATATACCGATATATCCCAGTGATACATAGATGACATAGCTTGCAAAAGAAAACAGCTCGCCTCATTGGGATGCACCACCCTGAAAAATCATCCCTTCAACTGTGCCTGCCACTGTAGTCGGTTCGGAAGAGACCCGTGGCGCTGTCAACAATCAGCACAGCCTCGCGCACAAAAAAAACCTGGATGACGATTGGATCTATTGCTTCTGATGCCAGAAAAAATCAGGCTTTTTGTTGTTACTGATATCTGATGATCTGGGGAGATTTGGAGCTGGGGCCAAGACATAGCGAGATTCACAGAAGACGCTTGCTGCCTCCGCCAACAGCCGATCCTGCCAGGACGATCAAAGCGCATGGAGATTCGAAAAGTCTATGAATATGTTCCATATTGTTCAGTGAAAATATGTGACCTTAGCCTTACCTCCATAAACTTTGATGTTAAACTTGATATTTGATAAAAATGACAAAATATGCACTGTATCAACCAAACAAATGTACGTATGTGTTTGATTTGTTTGTAAAGCAATAGTAAACCATCCCCAATTTTACCATAAATGGTTGGAATTCCAGCCATCAACACATGGGTGGTTTATGGCACTACTTTACTAACGTTGACCATTCTCCCATTATACCTTAGGATAAACCAACATAGATTTGGAAAATCAACCCTTTGTAGATCATTTTCGGAGGCTTGCACCATGGGTTTTCCACATCTTTTTGTATGTTTATCTGAGGGTATCATTCTCCAACACGGAGAATCTCTTCGCCACAACATATTCACCCACTCTCCTGGTGCTCTGCATTGTAGGCGCGAGCGTACGTCACGTTTTCCAAGACGTCCTGTGTGAAAGTGTGAAAGTCAAGTGCTGGCGGCGCACGCAGCCCGGCTGGCTGACTCCAGGACTGTATACAAGATACTGCGAAGTATCCCATCATGATGATATTCCCATGTTTTGTCTTCCCGTCGTTAGTTTGGTAAACCGCCATAGTCACCATTCCCAAGTTTGAGGTTATGAAATTAGGCATTTTCCTAGAAATGGGATGATGTAAAGTAATCCCCAGTCATTGCCCCAGCGGATGCTCCCCAGATGGTCCAGTAACTCTCTGATCACAACCCTCTACAGTAGCAATTTCTCACCGGAACATGTATAGCTCTCATCATATAGATGCAGCTGTGCTTCTGTATATGCTATACTATATTATATGCAGTTTTTCCTTCCTACTTGCTATATATACGCTATAGCATGCTATAAATACATATTCTATCATATTCTCACATGGTTATTGACACATGTTTCTGCTCTGCTTATGTCATCATGGTTGTTACAGAACCTGATTTCAGTCACCTCTTCCAGCGCCTCTTCATTCAGCCCATAGCGCCGTGCAATGTCGGCCAGTCGCTCTGGTCGAAAGGTGCCCTCAGCCAAAACGGGGATCTAAGCTCTAGAACTAGGGATACAATGGGGATATAATGAGTATAATGGGAATATGACCAACAGTATGAAACTTAGAAAGTTCTATTTCGGTGAAAACACGATTCAAAAAAAAGAAACTTATGCTCTGATGAAAAAATGAGAACATTAATAATATGGTATATTCTTCTAAATTAGGCTTACCGTACCGGCAATGACCAACACTTTACCATGGTCATTACCAACCTGTTTTGCATGGCTCTATGGCCCTGGTATTGCACTCTGAGCTGATGAGTTGACAAACACCTTCGCCCCAGTGCTTTTTGGCCGGGACACCATTTTTTCGGTTCCGAAGCCCAGTAAAAATAGGATATGTGTAGGTATACAGTAAATATATCTGGGTAAATTACAATATTTCACTAACCTGAATTAAGGCCATTTGGGGATGATTCCCCTTATAAACCATGATTCCAGTGAGGTCGCAGTGAGGTCGTTATAATTTACCCAGATATAATATGTATATATATATATGTCTATATATGTGTCTATATGTGTATATATGAATGTAAATAGGATGTTTTGTGTGTCTTTTAATCCATTGATTTCGGTTGGTAGGGCTCCAAGGTGACAAAAATTCCTGCCAAGGCCGCGAACTTCTGTATCGATGTACAAGGCCTGGATCGAAATCGATCATGAAAGCACCATCCATGTTTGGTAGAAAAAGGCGCCAAAGTTCTAGAAAAACTCCAGTTCGAACTTTGGGGGATATATGAATACATATATCATATCAGATAATAGCTCAACTATGTCACTATCTTGGATTCATGCTCAAGTTATCTTTCATGATGTGCCATTCATCTTCCCTGTTTACTGTTCCTTCATACCTCCTGTGCCTCCTGCATTCATGAATTTGGAACACGTAAACGCTAGGTTTTTCCTGACCAAATGATATTTTCCCTATTTGGCCCTATAACAAATTATTCGTTCAATGGTATACCCCATTTTTAGACACAGCCATATAGCTCATAATTGGGTGAACCAACAAAGTCCCTTGGTGCCATCTTCAATTGTCAAAGCCGCAAAGCAGCTGAAGTAACCCGAGATGTCGTCATTGAATGAAATACTGTTCGCTTCAGCGCGGGAATCCCATCATGAATCATGGGAAAATGATCATCAAACCATATCAAACCCAATGTATAAAAGGGTATGTGTATGTATGTCTTATTTTTCCGCAAAAAAAAAAACAGGTGTTTTGCACACTGCAAATGTTTTACACAACTTCTCGGATCACTGGGAACTATCTCCACTGCTCCGCGACTCGGCCTTACTTTCACCACCTCCCTTGCTGATGGGTAGCTGGCAAGCTACGCAGAGGGTATGGCCTCAGAGGCCACCAATGGCCAAACCCACAGGGGCACTACCTTTTTTGTGGGGGTTGACCAATATATAGAAAGGCCATTCTAATACCCAGAATAGGAAAATCATAGGAAAAAGATGGAAAAGGAATGAAAAGCTTCTTCTCAACCAAAAAATGTGCAAGGCCTTATGAATCTGGGTAAATTATAATATTTCACTAACCTGAAATAAGGCCATTTTGGGATGATTCCCCGAATCCTAAGCATGATTCCAGGCTTCGGGAGAACAGTGAGGTCGTTATAATTTACCCAGATGAATGGATATACCCTCTGGTAAACTAACATAACTATGGAAAATCACCATTTTTAATAGGTAAACCATCTATAAATGGGCCATTTTCCATGGCTATGTTAAATAACCAGAGGGTAACTATACGTCATGGGGGTACCCCCAATTCAGGACACCTCCGTAGATCATTACGATGATCCATGGGCACCATACAGAGCTGCGTCTTGCCACAGCGAAACTCTCCAAAGACCTGCGGAGCTGGGCCAAAGATGACCTGCATTGCAAACGTTGAAGTTAGGAAATATCCAAACCATGTTCCATATCTTTTTCTGGAAGAAAAAATGAAAAAATCGTCAATTTATTTCAATCTATGTCAGTCTCAAAAATATCATGTATGTTCATAGTTTATAGATTTTATTAAAATATCAGTATATAAATATCTATATAAATCATTCCATGTTAAATCGATGTTTCATCCGCCAACGGCCTCCGTAATCTGCCCGGTCCTGTCATTTCGCAGGCTGGCACAGCACTTTTTAAAACGTCCATCGAATGGGGAATACATTGGGAATAGACTGGGAATATCACCAGAAAACCATGATTTACTGGGATTTAATGGGGTATAACGGAATTTATATAGGGCGCAGATTTTTTTTGCGATTTTTCTTTTGGTTTTTTTTTTTGAATTTGTGTTGTTTTTCAGTCTGGGGCACTTTTCCTTGCTATTTGCTACATTTTGGAGCAAAAACCTCTACTTTGCTGAATTTTGGAGCTAAAATTTGCCATTTGCACTGTTCATCGATTGTTTAAGCACAACTGTGTTGGGTCTAAATAGTGGCATAGTGTTGGTTGGTTTAGGGTTTATGTAGGGTTGGTTTAGGTTGGTTTAGGGTCATTTAGGATTGGTTTAGGGTTGGTTTAAGGCTTATTTAGTGTTGGTTTAGGGTTTATCCAGAGTTATTTAGGGATGGTTTAGGGTTTATTTAGGGTTGGTTTAGGGTTTATTTAGGGTTATTTAGGGTTGGTTTAGGGATTATTTAGGGTTGGTTTAGGGTTTATTTAGGGTTATTTAGGGTTGGCTTTGATTTATTTAGGGTTGGCTTAGGGTTTATTTAGGGTTTATTTAGGGTTGGTTTATGGTTTATTTAGGGTTGGTTTAGTGTTTATTTAGGGTTGGTTTAGGGTTGGTTTGGGGTTGGTTTAAGGTTTATTCAGTGTTGGTTTCGGGTTTATTTAGGGTTGGTTTAGGGTTTATTTAGGGTTGGTTTAGGGCTGGTTCAGGGTCTATTTAAAGTCTGTTGCGGGTTGGATTAAGGTACATGTAGGGATACAAGGTGTGTATGTATATAAAGATAGATAGACAGACATACAGACAGATAGACAGATAGATAGATAGGTAGGTAGATAGATAGATAGGTAGATCAATAGATGGATGGATGGATAGATCGGTGGATAGATCGATAGATTAGATCGATAGATTAGATAGATTAGATAGATTAGATAGGTTAGATTTGATTTGGTTTGATTAGATTAGATTTGATTAGATTAGATTAAATTTAGATTTAGATTAGATTTAGATTAGATTAGATTAGATTAGGTTAGATTAGATTGATAGATTGATAGATTGATAGATTGATAGATAGTTTGATAGATTGAAAGATAGATAGATAGATAGATAGATTGATAGATAGATAGGTAGATAGATAGATAGATAGATCCATAGATAGATCGATAGATAGATCGATAGATGGATAGATGGATAGATGGATAGATGGATAGATGGATAGATGGATAGATGGATAGATGGATAGATGGATAGATGGATAGATGGATAGATGGATAGATAGATAGATAGATAGATTAGGTAGATAGGTAGATAGGTAGATAGATAGATGGATAGATGGATAGATGGATAGGTGGGTAGATGGATAGACAGATAGGCAGATAAATTGATAGATTGATAGATTGATAGACTGATAGACTGATAGATTGATGAATCGATAGAATAGATTAAATAGACTAAATAGATAGAATAGATAGATAGATAGATAGATAGATAGATAGATAGATAGATTAGCTAGATTAGATAGAAAAGATAGAATAGAGTAAATAGATAGATTAGATAGATTAGATATATTAGATAGATTAGATAGATTAGATGGATTAGATAGATTAGATAGATCAGATAGATGAGATAGAGTAGATAGATTAGATAGAATAGATAAATTAGATAGACTAGATAAATTAGATAGATTAGATAGATTAGATTGATGAGATTGATTAGATTGATTAGATAGATCAGATAGATTAGATAGAATAGATAGATTAGATAGATTAGGTAGATTAGATTAGGATAGATTAGCTAGATTGGATAGATTAGATAGATAGTTTAGATAGATTAGGTAGCTTAGATAGATTAGATATAAGATAGATAAGATTAGATTAGATAAGATTAGGTTAGATTAGGTTAGATTAGGTTAGGTTAGATTAGGTTAGATTAGATAGATAGATAGATAAGTAAAGCATGGTAAAGCCACAAGAGCCACACACCCACAAAAGCCACAAAAGCCAGAAAAGCCACAAAAGCCACAAAGCCAGGCTGGAAAACCAAAAAAAATTGCCATCCATTTATATAATTGAATTTCAATGGGATATAAAATCGTCATTGAACGGGATTTCACGGCATATTACTCGCAACGGTGGGAAATCAAACGGTAATATGTGGATTGAATATGATTAAATGGCGAATGGGATAATGTATGAATAATCGTTAATGGGATTTAGTGGAATCTGAATGGTACATAATGGGATGATAATGGGAATATCATGGGAAATCCATGGGAATATAACAATATAGCCATGATAGGAAGATCAATGAGACGGGGATAGAATGGGATAATCATTGAGATATTACCCTCCGGCAATTAAGTGTGGCAATCGAAAATCCTGGGTCAATATATATATATAATCCCTGTTGGAATTCGAACCAAACCTGGGGGTTCCATTCTATAGGGACTAAAACGCAAACCCAGGACTAAGGGGGGGGATTTTCCCTATATAGAATAGAAACCCAAGAAAACCAACAGCCCCCTGCCACTCCTATAAAATGAAAACCCAGCATCATACTGGCCACTGCTTCTAACAGATAATCCACTATAAAATGAAAACCTGAGTCCAAGTGATTAGGAAAAAGACCCCCTATAGAATAGAAAACTGGGTTTGCAATGCCTCAAGTTTGGTGTCACTTTTGGGTATGTAAACTGGATGGGCGCAATCCAGGTACCATTCTATAGTAAACACTGGCCTACCAGCCTCATCTCTATAGAATCGTACCCCCAGGTGATCTATTTTATAGAGATTTTTCCAAGGAGGATTATATATATATAGAGAGAGAGAGAGAAGTGGTGTTTATAGCTCGGAAAATCATGGACAAAGATGGTCGAGTTTTCAGCAAGCTATGTTTGATTACCAGAATGCATCCTTCAATCTTAGACACCAACAGAATCAGAATCATCCAAAGAATGATCAAAAAAGTCCATTTCCAACATTCCCACTCTCCAAAACAAAGCCCATTTCCAAGTACAAAAAGTACACTAAGTACAGCTTAAACTCCCCATTTATAATTGATTTACCTATAAAAAATGGTGATTTTCCATAGCTCTGTTAGTTTACCAGAGGGTATCTTCACAGCTTTCCCCAACACCCACCCCAACTGAGCCGGAGCTTCTCTACCCCGCCCTTCAGCAAGTGATCCAACTTGGCAGAGCCCGTGGTGATTTGTACCTGTGGCTGGACATAGATTTCACCCTCGTTTTTTGGGGGGCCCATATCCAACAAACATTTCTGGGGGCTTTAATTCCCATGGTTCTGCCCATATTTTTCACCTAAGTCCTGCACAAGATAGGAGTAACAGGACCAGATTTCAGATGTCGAGGCCTATCCCAAGGATTCCTTAAATGGGCACCCACTTGATTTTGCCAACGGCGAAAATGATATTGAATTTACCCTCTGGTAAATGTACAAAAGGCTATGGAAAATCACCCTGTTTAGTAGGTAAATCAACTACAAATAGCCATGTTCCGTAGCAGTTCTAGCTACAAAGTGCTATGCGCCCCATGGAAATCCTTGGATCGGCCCCGGAGGCCGAGATCCCCACCATGTTTCTGCGCAACTGCAGCATCTCGGCAGCACTCACCTTGGGACAAAACACGGTAGACCAACCCCCCCAGTTGTGTAGATGTTGTGGTCAGAAATTGACGTTGTAAAACGTTGTAAAGAGAACCAAATGGAATGATGTTTATCCAAGCTTATCCACCAAAGATCCGTCTGAGCAGATATGAACCAACTTTCCTATCCAAGAAAGGGGCCCTTCTTGTGTTTTTACTTTGATAAATGTGGCTGATTTCCTGGATGGTTGATGATTTTTCTTTGTTTGTACAATTGCCAGCATTGGAATTCACCAAGAATTTGGCTGGATGTGAAGCCCAAAACATTGATTCAGCCCTTGGAGAGTGAGAATAGTGAAAAACCACTATTAATATCTAGGAACATTGAAAGTCATCACATTAGTGATAAGATAAACTAGGGCCCAAGCTTTGTTATCGCTCTTGGGGGTACCTGATTAGTAACATTCATATTCCTCTTCTACAGACGGCAACCTCTTCCTTGGTTCAATTCCCTTGTGCTTTCTGCAATTTGAGTTTGTCTGAAAATTTTTACCAAAAAATTGATTGTTTATCATCATTTTAAAATTTCAACTAAACAAAATGCAACTTTGCGGGCATGCCACATGCCCGGCATGCCCCAATTTTCAGACACATATCATCATATCCGGCTGGATAAATTATGATAAGTCACTAACCTGAAAAGTTCGGCCTCCCATCTTCGGTCAGCAGCACACCCCCGGGCGAGAACAAGGGCGAACTGGTCCTGAAAAGTTCGGCCATTTTGGGATACTTACTCCTTAGTAACCATTTTTTCTGCTGATGTTGCAGTGAGCTCGTTATAATTCACCCATATCTGTTTTCCTTGTTTCATCTGGATCAATACCCCATGTTGTTGCTGATATGCCCTTTGTATAATACCCCTGTACGTACACCCCTTAAAAATGCCCATGACCCCTTAAAATATGTCATGTTGAGAGGTTATAAATTATATTTGTCCCCCACAGCGCGGAGTAGGTTCCCGCGCCATGCGCATCGGCACCAATTGCTTGGCTGCTGCGTAGATGCGGGCTGCCTGTCAGGCGCCCCTTGAGCAGAATCGGAGGCCCAAGTTCAGCGGTGATCGTAGATGTATGACTTAATGGTGATATAACCATGAAAAATTGGATTTTATGGGATAAACATGGGGATGTAATGGGATATAAAACTACTCAGCAACTGTATGTGTGTCTGAAAATTGGGTTAATTTATGGTAAAATGCCTATAAAATGATCATTTAATAGGAACCATGGGGATAACCCATGGGATTTTGGAGGTGCCATGTGATTTTTAGAAAACCCAAACACTATGGGCTATGGGTGAAGCTCCAGCCCAAAATGCCATTCTTGGGCGGAAAAAAATATGGCTACGGCTCAATGTTGAATCCAAAAAGTGGATAATGGATATCAACTTTGATTAAATATGTAGACTCAAAGTTCTTGATGTTGGATGTCAACCTTAACATATCTTTCTAGAAAAGAAATGCTGCAGCCACGCCTTCTGTTCCCCGATGCCTTTGACTTCACACCTCGTCACGAGGATATCGCTATCCTCCGGTAAACATCGTCTTTTCATAGGTAAATCAACGAACCAAATTATCATTTTCCATAGCTTTTTCTATGTTTACCATAGGATGATTTTGTACTAAGGTAGTGTAGTAAGGTAAGTAATTGGCTAGCGGGTGTACACTAAAAATAGACTTGTGGGTACTATGTCCTGAGGTACTCAGGTAGTGGATATAGGTACAATTCGATATGTGTATATATATATATATACATATGTGTGTGGTTTACATACATGTATATATATATATATACATTTATATGTGTGTTATATACATATATATATATAGGTGTGTTATACATAAATATATATATGTGTGTGTGTGTGCTATATATATATATATGATCCCGCCTTCCGACCGCGAGGTCCCCCCCCAAAGTGATGGGTCCCCAGGTAGCACCCCCCCCTTCCCTTCTATTTACAAGCTATTGGCAGCATTTCTGAGGTCCAGCCTCGTATTTGCTAGGTTTTTGCAGCGATTCTGACTACCAGCCCCGCATTTACTAGGTACATGCTACCTTTTAGACGACCTACGTAGCACACTTATTCCCTCAAAGTACCTACGTGCTACCTGTAGTCATATATATATACATGTGCTATGTATTTGCTTCCTATATATATATGTGTATATATATATACACACGTTATAGATTCATACATATATATATATATACACACACATATTCGTATTTAAATATACCTATATATATATACATATATGTATATATACGCACATATATACATATATTCACATATGTATATATATTCACATGTATATTCACATATATATATATATATGTATATGTACACATACATATATATATATATACATATATATATACACATACATGTTTGCATATATATATGTACGCAGTACCACGCCCCCCACCACACCACAGGGGGGGCGGGGAACATAGCTCCTGTATATCCATACCCATTCCTACTACTAACTACTACTAACTACTACTCACTACTACTCACTACTACTAACCCCCCTCACCCCCCTACCCACCCTTCAGAGGCCCCCCACCACACCACAGGGGGGGCGGGGAACATAGCTCCTGTATATCCATACCCATTCCTACTACTAACTACTACTCACTACTACTCACTACTACTAACCCCCCTCACCCCCCTACCCACCCTTCAGAGGGGGGGGGCCGGGGAACATAGCTCCTGTGTATCCATACCCATTCCTACTACTAACTACTACGAACTACTACTCCCCCCACCCCCCTACCCACCCACAGAGGGGGGTGGGGAACATAGCTCCTGTATATCCATACCCATTCCTACTACTAACTCCTACTCACTACTACTAACCCCCCCACCCCCCTACCCACCCACAGGGGAGGGCGGGGAACATAGCTCCTGTATATCCATACCCAGTCCTACTACTAACTAGTATTCACTACGACTAACTACTACTACTACTACTACTACTACTACTACTACTACTACTACTACTACTCCTGCTACTACTACTACTACTACTACCACCACCACCACCACCACCACCACCACCCCCCACCCCCCTACCCAGCCACAGGGGAGGGCCGGGAACATAGCTCCTGTATACCCATACCCATTGGGGGGGAAGGGGGGGGACTTGGGAGGGCTGCATCATATATACATACATTAAGACTATTTGATCAATGACCATTTCAGGTACCTTAATTGGAGGTACCTACCATATATAAGGCTTATGTAAGGCCTATGTAAGGGGATATGCCCCCAATTTCTATAGCTTTATATGCTACAGTACCTCTAGTTTAAAGGCCTGAAAGTCCCATTGTTAACCATTCTTAACCCATCATTCATCATTAACCATTAACAAAATCCCATTCTGGGATGGTTTACCATAGGATTTACCATGATTTACAGAGCCGAGGAGCAGCTTGCGCTGTGGCATGAAAGCAATCGTCTCAACCTGGGCGAAGGCGTAACTAACTCGTAACGGCCTTGAGGCCGGAAAACCGGCTACAACACGCAAAAAAAAAAAGCTGTTGAAAAAACAGGATATCATACATATATATATAACTACCAGTAGTACCGCACAAGGCGGTGGCGGAAGTTTCAAAAATAGGAAACCTATAGGAGAGATTGGTTGCTGTGAATCAGGGATGGCAGAGCGAAGCCACTGATGGACTGAAAGGTGCTTGATCTCTCTGACTCTTTCTCTCTCTTTCTCTGACTATCTACCTACCTACCTACCTATCTATTTTCTATGTATCTATCTATCTATCTATCTATCGATCTATCTATCTATCTATCGATCTATCTATCTATCTATCTATCTCTCTCTCTCTCTCTTTCATCTGTCTATCTGTCTAGCTGTCTAGCTGTCTATCTGTCTATCTATCTATCTATCTGTCTATCTGTCTACCTGTCTATCTGTGGTGCAGTGTCATTCAGTGTAGTGTAGTGTAGTGTAATGTAGTGTAGTGGAGTGTAGTGGAATGTAGTGTAGTGTACTGTTGTGTAGTGTAGTGTGATTTAGTGTAATGGAGTGTAGCGGAGTGTAGATGTGTAGTCGTAGTTGTAGTTGTAGTGTAGTGGAGTGTAGTGGGGTGTAATGTAGTGAAGTGTAGTGGAAAGTAGTGTAGTGTAGTGTAATGTAGTGTAGTGGAGTGTAGTGTAGTGTAATGTAGTGTAGTGTAATTTAGTGTAGTGGAGTGTAGTGGAGTGTAGTAGAGTGTAGTTGTGTAGTTCTGTAGTTGTAGTTGTAGTGTTGTGGAGTGTAGTGTAGTGTAATGTACTGTAGTGTGTGGAGTGTATAGTGTAGTGTAATGTAGTGTAGTGTAGTGGAGTGTATAGTGTAGTGTAATGTAGTGTAGTGTAGCGGAGTGTAGTGTAATGTGGCGTAGTGTATTGTAATTTAATGTAGTGGAGTGTAGTGGAGTGTAGTTGTGTAGTTCTGTAGTTGTAGTTGTAGTGTTGTGGAGTGTAGTGTAGTTTAATGTACTGTAGTGTAGTGGAGTGTATAGTGTAGTGTAATGACCCGAAGCGAAGCGAAGCGATATCTGCACCTCCAAAAGTGGTCCGAACCCCTAGTGTTTTGCACATTTTGACTTGGAAATGTGCTTCGCGCCACAACGGCGTGCACTTTTTCGACAGCTGAACTTCCAAAAGTGGTCCGAACCTGGTTTGTTTTGTACATTTTGACTTGGAAATGTGCTTCGCGCCACAACGGCGTGCACTTTTTCAACATCTGAACTTCCAAAAGTGGTCCGAACCTGGTGTGTTTTGTACATTTTGACTTGGAAATGTGCTTCGCGCCACAACGGCGTGCACTTTTTCGACATCGCAACTTCCAAAAGTGGTCCTAACCTGGTGTGCTTTGTACATTTTGACTTGGAAATGTGCTTCGCGCCACAACGGCATGCACTTTTTTGACATCTCAACTTCCAAAAGTGGTCCGAGACTGCCAGTTTTTAACACTTTTGACTTCGAAATGTGCTTCGCGCCACAACGACGTGCAATTTTTCATCGCTCCTGTGGCCAGCTGGCTCCGCACCCGCCGCTTTAGCGAGCCTACTTTTCGACCCTCCGGAGCCACAAATCATTGGAAAAACACAGTGTTTCGCGACTTTCCTACCTTTTCGCGCATCTCCATCTTCTTTCTTCTTACTCTTTCTCTTCTACTCTTCTTTCTTCTAATCTTTCTCTTCTCTCTGCCTCTTCCCTGCTCTACTTTTCATCTGTCCATATTGTCGGAAGTTTGACTTCTAAACTTCCTTCGATTATTGCTATCATGCTTATCATTATTTATTATTTATATATTATTATCAATATATTATAAGCATTACTATTTTTAGATTATGCATGCACTCCGTACATGAAAGGAGCTTCAAATGTCCCATCGGTCCAACATGCAACCTCCTTTCACACACATGGGCTTTGCAGCTTCTGGTCCCGGCCGCAATTGAGTGCCCCCACACAATGAATCCCATGGTCCAACAAAGCGTTCAGGTCGGTCTGTGCCAGCACAAGTAGTCACAAGTTCCAAGTTGGATCAGTCGGCCCACAGTCAGCCGTGTCATTGTCTGCATTTTGGGGGGGTTCCCACTTATGGAAAAGCGATCTGCTCATTTCTTGGATGGGTTGTCTCATTCTTGTGAATTCTCAGTGGCCCCTCATTACAGAGCACTTGGAAATGCAAGCTTGGAAACTTCTCATAATTGAAATTGAAAACTCACTGGTTTCTCAAAGGAGTTGGTCTGAAAATGCGCTATTCCATCCAAGAATTCATCATCATGTTCCTCATTAAAGTATACCAAGTAGCCATGTCGGGGTATGTAAAAAAAAAACTGACAGTAATTCATTGATTAAAACCCATATTTTTCATGGCTAAATCAGATGAAATCACCACAAATCCCGGCCAAGTGGGTCACGCCACTGAGGTCACCTTCGAGAGGCCGGCGCCCTTTTGCTCCACAGTGGCACACAAGCGTTCCAACTGCGCAGCGGCTGATCCGCTGTAAGAGTTCTAAAAAAACATCGGTAAATCATGGTAAATCCTGGATAAATATTGGTCCATGATGGGATCAATATTGGTTAATGAACCATCCCGTAGGGATCCCATGATGGTGAAAATCATGGGGGTAACACATTTCTGGATGAAGAATGAATATCATATTGGAATAATTAGATAAAGAAAACACCATAAACCTACGATTCGGGGATGGTAATCCCAGCCATACAACTGGTCACATTGGAGATGGTTCACTATTGGGTTCAGAAAGTTATTTGATATCATTTGTGCCACTTGGAATTCAATTCTTGTTCACTTACAATGTGTTGCCAAGATCTTGGATTTTTTCTGTGTCTTGAAATGGTTGGACACGAAAAGGTCTTGGATTCAGAACTGCTACGGATCCCAATCCCATCCCCGCAAATACCATCTGGTTATGACTAACAGTTCGCCATGGAAAATCACCATGCTATTGATAGGTAAACCATCTATTTCGATTAGGGCCATCATTTCCCATGGCTATGTTAGTCATAACCAGATGGTATTTGCGGGGATTTACCAATTCCAGATTCCAGGATTTCAAGATCGAATTGATGACGGTTATCCCCTGCCAGATCTGCACCCAATTGATATGGCGGCCAGTCCGAAAATAGGATACACCCAAATCCAATGGTTTATCATCTTCGTCCTTCTCTGGAGACTCCAATTTCGGAGTCAGACCACCATTTTCAGAGACACCAATTTTTTGGGATATAGCTGTAGCTGGTTTTTTTAATCTATATCTATACACATATCCTGCTGAATATGCCATTAAATCCCAGTGTTGAATGATGTCCCCTTGTCACCGACCTTGGTGATGCCCGGTTCATCGTCAGGCACATCTGCTTCCACCACCTGACCAAGATGCCAGGATCAGCAGAAATAGCTTGGAAATATAGAGAGAGATATCTGTATTAGTATAGATATATATATATACATGATGTACATAGATGTATCATCTGTATGTATGTGTACATATATATATATATATACATAGTTATATATGCAGATGTAACCCCCAGAAAGATGAATGAAAATGGTCCGAAAAAATCCGTGTAGTTTGCTGTTCTATCGCCATGGAGAGATCGGGTCTGTAGTGTGGAAACTCAGTGCACACAGAGAAGTAAATTCTGATCAAACCATGATTTCTTTGTATTATATGTATATAGAATTATATAGGATATAAAGTGATAACATGGAAACCAAGTCAGTGCTGCTTCAAAAATTAGAAGATCGCTCTTTGGTTTTTTTCAGGGGCGCATACCCCAACTTTTTGAGCCAAAGCCTGTCAGCTGCCATGTTCGATCGTCCTAGACATTTAGGTGATGCATCTATTCCAAATGTTGTTCTTGTTCTTTCACTGCTATGTTTCGAGCATTCCAACGTGGCAAAATTCTATTTTAGGGTCTGATACACCCCTACTCTTCTGCATAAGGTTCCTCATTTTTCGAGTATACAATCATATAGTTCAATCCCCATTGCCATTTTTGGTGGATACCCTCTGGTGAACTAACATAACTATGGAAAATCACCATGCTATTAATTGCTAAAGCAACTGTAAATGGCCACCATTCAATAGCTATGCAGCTATGTTAGTTTACCAGAGGGTAAAACATCATAAGAAATCATGTACCCTCTGGTAAACTAACATAGCAATGGAAAATCACCATTTTTAATAGGTAAACCCAGGTAAACCATCTATAAATCACCATTTTCCATGGCTATTTTGACATAACCAGAGGGTAAAATCTCCAACTTTTCTCGGACGAAAAAATGTGGCCTGCTCTGCCGCGGCCACGGCTGGCGCCGGCTGGGCGGCTGGTGCCTGCGAGGCGATGGGAAAATTGTCCAGAACTAAGCCTGGAATTGATGGGGGATATAGCCGATATAGCCGAAGTAAATGGACATTGAAGAAACCCCGAAAAATTTTCCAGATCTTCGATATACCCAATCATTCAACTGAAAATGATGGGCATTTCCCACCTAAAATAGCCATTGAAAAATGGGACATAGTCTTCTCAACAAGACTGGGAGTGCCCCATTGGTTTTGCAAAATCCCCGAATGGGATGAGCCAAGCAAGTGCGAATGATCCATGAAAATCGATGGGAAATTCCCAAACGAAAAAAACACCTCCATTTTGAGAAAGGAGATGTTCAACTGTTATGTTTGATTTGCTAAAGCCTTATTGATCATACTCAATCAATTCAATTTTTTTTCAACTGTGTTATCAGAATATGAAACTATTGATTTAAAATCCTGAAGAAATACCAGAAAATTGGGACATGTCACAAAATCATAAAGTGGCAGATTTTGGTTCAAAGCAGCGAATCACACGTTTTTCTATGGCTGGCCTCCACCACAGATGAGTCCTGGCGGAACCAATCCACCCAAATTGGTATTGAAAGATCATTTGACCATGATTTAGTGTGATTTCAATGGGATTTGATGGGATTTATATCATGTGATTTGCATGGGATTTGCATGTGGCTTGAATGTGATTTTAATTGCATTCTAATTGGAATTCAATTAGACTTTAATTTGATTTTAATGCAATTTTAATTGGATTTAATAGTATTTTAATGGGATTTAACTGGATTTTAAACTGGATTTAACATGATGTGAATTGGATTTGAATCAGATTTAACTGGATTTAGCGTGATGTTATCTGAGTTTAAGTGTAGTGTAGTGTGTTTTTAATGTGATTTAATTGGATGTTAATGGAATTTAATTATATGTTAATGGACCTAAAAGGATTTTAATTGGAAATTAAGTGGATTTAATGTGATTTTAATAGGAGTTAATCGGATTTTAATTGTTTGTTTTTTTGGATTTAGGATTTAATTGGATTTTAATCGGATTTAATGGGATTTAATGGGATTGTAATTGGATGTTGATGGGATTTAATCTGATTTAATGGTATGTTAATTTGATTGTAATTGGAATTTAATAGGATTTAATGAGATTTAGTGATATCTTAATTTGGTTTTTATTGGAGTTCGATGAGATTTAATTACATTTAATTGGATTGTAATTTGATTTTAGTGTGATTTTAAATGGATTTAAGAGGATGTTAATGGGATTTTGATTCGGTTTTAATTAGAGTCTAATTGGACTTTACTAGAATTCAATAGGCTTTTAATTGGATTTAATGTTAGTTAGTTTAACGTGATGTTAATTGGATTTTAAAGGGATTTAATGGGATTTTAGTTGGACTTCATGTGCTGTTAATAGGATTTAATGGTAGTGTAATGGGATGTTTGATTAGATTAGAACGGGATGTTGATGGGATTTTAATGGGAATTAATGGGACCTTAATGTGATTTTGATGTGATTTAATTGGATTTTTACTGGATTTAATGATATGTTAATTGGATTTAATTAGATTTAATTGATTTCAATTGGATATTAGTTGGATTTTAGCTTAATATTATTGTGATTTTAATGTGATTTTAATTGAATGTTAATATGATTTAATGTTATTTTGATTGGATTTAAATTTGATTTTATTTGGTTTTCATGTGGTTTGAATGGGATTTAATTTGATTTTTTCATTGGAGTTTAATAGGAATTAACTGGATTTAACATGATGCTAATTGGATTTTGATTAGATTTAACTGGATTTAATGTGATTTTAATTGGAGTTTAATTGTAATGTAATTTGCGTTTAATGTGATTTAATGGGATTTTCATTGGATGTTGATGGGATTTGATTAAATAATCATGGGACTTGTAAGGATTTTAATTGGGTGTTAATGGGAGTTAGGATTTAATTGGATGTTAACCGGATTTTATGGGATTTTAATTGGATGTTAATGGGATTTAATGGGATTTAATGGGATTTAATGGGGTTTAATGGGATTTAATGGGATTTAATGGGATTTAATGGGATTTAATGGGATTTAATATGAAATAATTGGAGGTTAATTGAAACTAATCTGATGTTGATCGGATTTAATGGTATTTTAATGGGATCTCAATGTGATGTTACTTGGATTTTTATTGGAATTTAATTCGATTAAATTGGATTTAATTGGGTTTAATTAGATTAATTGGATTTAATCGGATTTAATTGTATTTAATGGTATCTTAATTGGATTTTAATTATAATTATATTTTAATTGTATTTTAACTGGAATTTAGTGGTATTTAATGTGATTTCAATTGGATTTTAATTAGATTTTAATTGGATTTTAATTGGATGTTAATTCGACGTTAATTGGATGTTAATGTGAATAAACTCTATTTTAATTGGATGTTAGTTAGATTTTAATCTGATCTTAATATATGTGTTTAATTGGATTTATCCTGATTTTAACCAAGTTTGATGGTATTTTTGATGGGATTTGATCTGATTTTGATGGGATTTGATTGGATTTTAATGGTACTTCATAGGTTCATCGGATTTCAACAGGAGTTGAATGAGATTTAATGGGATTTATTGGGATTTAATTGGATTTACTTGGAGTTTAATGGGATTTTAATGAATTTTACCTGGATTTAATGGGATTTAATAAGATTTTAATTGGATTTTAATGGGATTTAAATTGGATGGTTAATGGTACTTTAATTAGATTTTAATGGGATTTGATTGGATTTTAGTGGAGTATTAGTTGGACATAGTGGTATATAATGGGATGTAATGGGATATTCAATCGATATAGTAATATATCATAGGGTGGAATGGGATGATAATGGGATGTAATGGGAATTAATGGGATTTGAATGGGTTTACAGTAAATGTGATTTGATGGTATCTAAATTAATGGTACATTGACAGGATATAATGGTATATAATGGGATGGAATGGGATATTAATGGGATGTATTGGTATATAATTGGATACTATGGGATATCAATGAGATATTAATAGGATGTAATGGAATATTACAGTAATGGGATATTAATGGTATATAATGGTATATCAATGGGATTTATTGGAATATCAATGGCATGTAATGGGATATTAATGGGATATTAATGGGATATTAATGGGATATTAATGGGATGTAACGAATGGGATCTAACGGCATATTCTTGGGAGTTAACTGGGATAATGGGATAACACTTGGGATGGTTACCCCTTTTTTGGGGTCATCCGCCACGTGGCTGGAAAATCTTCGAACTAGCCATGGGATGGGCATCGATATTTGGGAAAATCATCTATATATAACTGGTGGATCTTCCAGCAAGCCAGGCTTGAGGCTAGATCCGATCACATCGCACCAGGCTTCTCTTTGGTTTTGAATAAGGTGAAAATGAGTAGCAATGCTCCTTCCTATCCTTCTTTGTTGGTAGAAAAAATCCATTAGTTGATGGCCATGGGTCTACCTCATTTTTGGAACCATCCGAATTGGATGTAGATGCCTGCATATCACATTACATCCTCATGAACATCCCATCAAATCCCAGGCTTTTTATTGGTTACGTAATCTCAAATCACACATGTTCCCTACTTGGGGGCAAAGTTGAGGTAAAAAAATGGGCATAACCATGGTTATAAATTCTCCATACTCCATAAGTTGGGGTATGGGGCCCCTATAATACTTTAAGATACTATCAGCATGGTGAAATATATCCACGAACAGTTCACTGGAACTGCGTCCATCACCTCACCAAAAAATTCTCCTCCAAGACAGCCTCGCGTCTGGCGCGTTTGTTTTGACGCACCTGGCGCCCCCGGTCGGGGCATGTCGCCCCGCCCACCCACGGGGAGACACAACAGCGCCAAGCCTGCACCTGCTGCTCCATGATGAACCAAAAGATTGATGATCTGGGAATTGAGACCAATTTATGAAATGTCTTCAGCAAAATTCATGACAATTCGGTGATGCTGATCTTTCTAAATCAACATGCAAGACCTAGAATCCGCTCGACGTCCACAATTTCTGGACTGGTCATGTGTAGTGTCAGAATGATATGACACAGAGGCATGTGTTCTTTGCACTTGTTTGTGAAGGTACTGATAATCAAACATGGCAATGGAAAATCCTCCACTAAAACCCTCCATTTATAGGGTATCATCTTTGTTTCATCTTTTTCCTTTTCTTGGTTTGAGCTCATTGAGGTCTGAATGGACGCAACGGCGCCAACTCTTGTCCGGTGAATTTCAGTTGTGCTGGACGCCATGGATTGGTTTTGACAGCTGAGAGCCCCGTGCAAATGAAGTGAGGCATTTAATGAAGCGCCATACTTGTGAGTGGCCAGAGGTCATTATGTAATGGATATAACTATGGTCATAAACTCTCATAAGCTGGGATGTGGGGCCCCATAAGTATGGTGAAATATATCCACTTAGTTCACTGGAACTGCACTTTCAAGTACTCTCAAACGTTGAGTTCGATGAAACCACAGAATGATGTTTAAGTTTTGCAGTAGACTGAGTCAAGTTTTTGCTCGTCTCAAGTGGCATAGGACCACAAAACCTGCTGAAAAAGCTGCTCTTTGAGCACCGAAGAAATGCAGTTCCCCAAACAGACCCTGATGGGATGCAGTGGATTATACCGTACATACCCCAAACAGAGGACGCCAAACTGAACAGATCCATAAAAATGTGGGATTCACGAAAATGCCATAGTCACCACTCCCAATTCTGGTTTACATGATTGGGTATACCCCTAGAAATGGGATGTTGTTTAGCATGACCCCTTTCTATGGTTGCTTGTATAACGGGATGGTTTATGGATACTTATGGCATTGGGTGAATCCAACATAAATGATTATCATATACTATAGTGAATATACCGTACCTATGGTTGACTGTATAAGTTTGAACTTTTAGCATAAATTGCAAAACTGTTTACTGTGAAACTATGAAGTATTCACTGATATTTGTACCGTAACGGACGAGCATGACTGCTGTTCACCATCGTGGTCAGTCAAAATCATCTGGATCAGTTTTTTTGAGTTCACAAATCCCATACTAAACCAGTTGAATTTCATATGGGCTTTGTGAAAGAAACAGGGAAGGGATTCCCTGCGTTGGCTCGTGGACTTTTTTCACCGGCAGCGTGTTTTCAGGACCGAAGGTCTTGAAATGCTGCGGCGCATCGCCTGGAAATCAAGAAAATTGGTGGCATCCCCAAGATTCAGAAAAGTTCCCACAGATCTTCAACAAATGATTTAATGGGATTTATAATGGGATTTATAATGGGATTTATAATTTCCTGGGATTTAATGGTTAAATCATGGTTTGCCATGATGGTTTTCATTGGGATTTTATTCTGAAAAAACCATCATGGCAAAGCATGATTCAAATCATGGGATTTTTCATGGGAGAATGAGATCTAAATGGGATCTTAATCCGATATTAATGGGAGATTAATGGGCTATGATGAAATGGATCTTAATACTAATGGAATAATGGGATATCATTAGTTTAATGAGATTAATGAGATAATGGGATAATATTAGTCAGTTGGGATGATTATTCCCAATATATGGAAAAATAAAAGCCATGTTCCAAAGCACCAATCAGTTAATGGGAGATTAATGAGATAATGGGATACTAATGGGATACTAATGGAATGTAATGGGATATAGTCGGATATAATGGGGTATGATGGGATGTAATGGGATGTAGTGGCATGCATATAATGGGATAATAACGGGATATCAATGGGATGTAAAGGGTTATTAATGAATATTACCGGGGTTTAATGGGATATTTTTTGGATCTAATGGGATTTACTGGGATTTATATAATGGGATATTCATGGGATATTAATGGGATAAAATGAAATGTAATGGTGGGGTTACACTGGTTAGCGCGCAATGTCGCCCGCTTTCGGACTGTTACAGTGAACTACCGTTCCGCCGCGCAACTACTTGACATGATGTGGCTGACATGACGGTGTGACACATATGCACGCTTTGGGTTTGCTCCTGTGATCTACCGCCTCACTGCCCCACCACTTGCGACCACATGGCTGACAGGATGATGTGACAGCCAAGCAACGAATCGTCTGCACGTCCCTTCAATGGTTTCACGTGCAAAATCACACGCTTGCATTGACATGTACCGTGATGTGCTGTTTCACGTCCCAAATTCTGAGCATGATGTGGTGGGCATGCAAACATGCGACACCTAGATAAGAGTGTTCGTCACTACATAATTATTCGCGCACGTCCAATCTTTCATACATACAACTACTTGACATGATGTCAATATGGTTGACATGAAGATGACAGCAAAGCATGACCCTTCAATGCTCTGCCTGCACTTCCAATCTTTCCGCAAAGTCTCACGCTTCTCTTAACTCTTGCTTTGATCCACTGTGTCATTTCCCAACTACTTTACATGATGTGGTTTACATGATGATGCGCCCGCTTGGCATGACCTTCTCGCAAAAATTCACGCATGCCCTAAATTTCACAGGCGGAGTCTCACGCTTGTCTTAACTCTTACTTTGATCCACTATTCCACTTCCTAGCTACTTCACTTATTTTTGTGAACATGATGTTGTGATATGGATAAGTAAGCGTGACCCTTGGAACATATCTAGCATGTGGTGCACCATTCGCCGCTGCTGCATGCTGCTACGCCTAGCATCGGCACAAGCGAGCAAAAAATCGCCGGCACAAGCGAAAGACTCACCTGGATATTACACTTCCTGAATTTGTCATGGCAGCCCCCTAAAAAAATAGTAAAATTGTTTCAACCAAAACCCAGAATTGTGACATGTTCATCTAACCAAGGAGGCAATAGATTGATATATTATATTATATATTATATTATACATATATATATACATATATATATATATATACATAAGCATCCAAAAGGAAAAGTTGGATATCACGGACCATCCCCCTCGATCCAGTCCCCAAACTTGGTAAGTCCGCGACCCAGTAGTTGTTACCTCGGCGAAGCGATTTTTACCCCATTGGCCCATTGGGACCCCCAGACATGGGATGATAGCCATGGTATAGATGGCCCATTTATAGCCTAATCGAAATAGATGGTGAACTTACCTGGGTTTACCTGGGTTTACCGAACTTAAAAATGGGTGGTGATTTTCCATGGCGAACTGTTAGTCATAACCAGATGGTAAATGTGGTGTTGACCTCATGAAATGTTCAAGTTCGAAGTTGCCCCGCATTCGATGTTTATATTCTGTTTATAGTATGTTTTACAGTTTGAATATCTCCATGTGTATATACGACGTATACCCGCAAACCCCGAAAGACAGCAAGGGGAAGCGACAAACTTTCAAATGTCATGTGTCTGTGTCTGTTTTAAACTGGATCCACACTACCACTACCAACTACCACTGCAGTCGATTCGCGAGCGTCTTTTGTGGTAGCAATACCAAAGTGCAAAATGTGACAGAATGTTACAGATAAGGGATAGGGCTGGTGTTTTTTCTGAACATCGCAAATACCAATGTGTCTGAAAGCAACGCAAATACAACGTTTCTAAATGGGACATTTACAAACCAAATGATTGCAGAGTACATCCCCACTCTTGTTGATTCAATATCCCTGTTTTTTGTTCGTAGAAAATTCCGTTTTTTGTCGGTTCCAAAATATTCCAAAATCATCCAAAATCTTATGCTTGTTGGTTACGATATCTTTTTTTTTTGGTTGGAAAGTCACACAACTTGCCTTCAGCCGCCATTGGGTCAGTCCCAACTGAGCTACACACCAGGCGAATCAGGCATCGGACTTCCTGAAGGGACGGCCCACTTTCTTGTAGAAATAGAAAGGTAGTTCCATCCGTGAGATGAAATCTCAATTAAGCAGTGGCTGCTAAACCCTCTGCCATTCCGCAAAATTTTGGTTGCGAACGGGATTCCATTTCATGGATGACAGTCCCGAATTTTCTTGGGGTATAATTGTCGAACTAATCCTCAAGAAACAGGGAACTCAAGGAGTAAAACCTGGAACCTCAGATCTCTTGTTAAGGTGCCAAGCTGGTAGAATTTTTTGGGACCCTGATTCCTATGGTGCTGTCATGTTCAAAACCCCATCGTTCCGTCCTTTTAAGCTTATGGAAGTGCGGGTCCCATCAGCCAGGGCCCAGAATTTCCACCAACTAAAAGCAGCGTTCCTCGAATTTCCATGGACTACCCGACTCACCTTTCGCCCGCGACCGGGCCTCGATCACTGCGTGGCAGAAGTCCAATTTTGGAGTCCCTCCCAGTGCTGTCCCTCGGACGGGGATCTACCCAGTGGATTCATCTGGGCTTCTCTGACCAAATGTGTATTTCATGGGATAGATTTTTTCTTAGGGAAGAAATCACGAATCAGTGGATTCTCATGTTATTTTTGTGGTATGAAAACGATCTACAAATTCCCTTGCCATATATGATCACTGGAGGATAAAGCCGATAAGGCGACATTGCCAATGGGCATCAAGATTGTACTACAGGGATGGACCAGAACAAAGAAGCACAATGTGGCATCAAAGGTGATGTTGAAGAACACGAACACCAAAGGCGATGTCTGTCCAAGAATCAGTTTTTTTCCTCAAAAGTGCCATTTTCACTCGGGAAAATCATGATCAACCACATGGGCACCAGTGGCACATTCAACCTCATATGACTTAACCCAAATGGACAGAGCCAAATCAAGGACAAAGTACCATCACAGTCAGAAAGGTTGGTCACTTTTTAGGATTAAACCATCCAATTGTGGCTGCTAAACCCTCTGTCCTTCCACACGTTTCCGGAACCGGATGCCCAGTTCATGGATAGTCCCCAATATATAAAGGTAGCAAGCAGAATCCCCGAAAGAAAAAATCATCAACCCACTGGGGTGTCTTGCAGCCACTACTCGATTGTTGGGAGGGGGATAGGGCTCCCAGCGTTGACAGCCCCACATCATTGACAAAGGCGACCTCAGGTCCAGCCGTACCGTGGGTATCTCTAAAATGGCACATGAGGATCGAAGCATCCGCCATCAGAGGAAAAAAAATGTTTTGGGGAAAACCATGGTGTTTTTCGGTTTCAGAGTTTGTGTTTTTTTTTGTAAAAACTGACCTTTAGGTTCTCCCCCTACCATAAGGCGGCTACATCCATGGTATCAAAAATGGTTGGTTTGAAAGCCCCCGATAAAAATGGAGGTTGATTGGGAAAATCAGCTACAAATGGTGGATTGTCCATTTCTATGTTTGATTACCAGAGGATAATCCAAAGTATGTATCCCGCCAATATCCAAAACCTTTGGTGCAGACCCTCTGAGAATGGCCAGTGCTCCAGTCAGAAACCTATTTTCCGTGACTAATGTTCATGTTCAAAATCACTGTGTCCGTACGGCTCAAAATGCTATGCCCCCCAAAAAAATGTGTGGTCATACAATCTTTATCAATGTTCCCACCTAATATCAAATACCACCCAAAAGGTCTGACTTAGCATTGGATCTATTCATGTGAAGGTCCATATGGATGGTATTTGATATTAGGGGATGAGATTACCAATCACAACCAATCTCATTTGGAACCAATGTCAATCAATGGATTACACATTAATTATCACTAGTTACAATTAATTACCATTAATTACCATTAATTGGTACCCCAATTACCAATAAGACAAACCTCTGGTAATCAACCGTGGTTTGCTGGAAAATCATCCGTTTCTCGTTGATTTTCCCATTATTAAAACGTCCATCTTTAAAGGGGATTTTCGAGCAAACCATGTTTGATGGCATGGGAGGATAACACCCCAATGATCCCATTGTAACCCCATTCATATTCCATTATTATCCACCCATTGCTATATTCCCATGATTATTGTCCCATTTTAACCCATTAAAATTCCGTTAAATCCCACTAAACCCCACTACATCCCATTGAATCCCATTAAATCCCATTATATAAACCTTATTGAGATCCTGTAAAATCTTATTGGGCCCCATGGAAGCCCATCAAAACCCATTAAATCCCATTGAGTCCCATTAAGCCCCATTAAAGCCAATTAAATTCCATTAAAATCCAATAAAATCCAATTAAAACCCCATTAAACCCCATTAAGATCTTAATCAATCCAATTGAATCCCATTAAATCCAACTAAATCCCATTAGATCCCATTAAGTCCAATCAATCCCATTGAACCCCATTAGGAACCTATTAAGGTCCCATTAAGTCACATTCACATCAAATATGCAATTTAATCTCACTCATATGAAAACGAATATGCCAATAAATCCCATTGACATCCAATAGATATCCCCAGAAATCCCAACATACCCCATTGTATCACATTGATCATTAATATATATTAATATCACATCAATATCCCAGTAATATCGCATTGAATCCCATTGGTATCCCATTATATAATTTCCCGTGAAATCGTATTATATCACATTACCCGTCCCAGGCGGTTGGAGTGTCGGTGTTTGCCTGCCACGTTCTGTTGATCTTCTTGGTGAAGTCACGTATTCATCCATCTTTCTTGTCTATCTATTCGTTTATTTGACTGCCATCGCTGCTGTCTATCAATCTCTCTATTTCATTATCTGTCTGTCTAACTAACTATCTAACTGTCAATCCATCTGTTCACCTTCTCTTCTATCTATCTATCTATCTAACTAACTAACTAACTAAATAAACTTAACTAACTAAACTTAACTAACTAAACTTAACCAACTAAACTTAACTAACTAACGAACGAACGAACTAACTCACTAACCAACCAACCAACCAACCAACCAACCAACCAACTAACTAACTAATCGATCTATCAATCTATCAATCTATCGATCTATCAATCTATCGATCTATCTGTCTATCTGTCTGTCTGTCTACCTGTCTATCTGTCTATCTGTCTGTCCGTCTGTCGGTTTATCTGTCTATCGGTCTGACAAGCTATCCATCCATCCATCTGTCTATCTACCCAGCTGTCTTCTCTATCTGTCTATCTTTCTGTCTATCTATCTATCGGTCTTTCTATCTGGCTATCTATCTGTGTGTCTATCTATCTGTCTCTCAATCTTTCTATCTATCGATCTATCGATCTATCGATCTATTGATCTATCGATCTATGTGTCTGTGTGTCTGTGTGTCTGTGTGTCTGTGTGTGTCTGTGTGTGTCCTGTCGGTCTGTGGTCTGTCTGTCTGTCTGTGTCCTGTCTGTTCTGTCTGTCTGTTGTCCAACTCTGCCTGCTGTCTGTCTGTCTGTCTGTCTGTCTGTCTGTCTGTGTCTCTGTGTCTCTGTGTCTCTGTGTCTGTCTGTCAGTCTGTCAGTCTGTCTGTCTGTCTGTCAGTCTGTCAGTCTGTCAGTCTGTCAGTCTGTCAGTCTGTCAGTCTGGTCTGTCTGTCAGTCTGTCTGTCTGTCTGTCTGTCTGTCTGTCTGTCTGTCTGTCTGTCTGTCTGTCTGTCTCTCTCTCTCTCTCTCTATCTGTCTGTCTTTCTGTCTATCTATGTATCTATCTACCTTTCTTTCTATCTACTTATCTATCTACCTATCTATCTATCTCCATCATTCTACATATCTGTAAATCTATCACTCTATCTACCTATCAACCTATCAATCTATCAACCTATCATTTTTCGACAGCTCAACGTCAAAAAGTGGTCGGAACCGTAGTTTGTTTTGACCATTTTTACTTCGGAATGTACTTCATGCCACAATGCTGTGCACTTTTTCGACGTCTCAACTTCCAAAGGTGGTCTGAACGTGGTGCGCTTTCCACATTTTGACTTCGAAATGTGCTTCGGGCCACAACGACGCGCAATTTTTGAACATCTCAACTTCCAAAAGCGCTCCGGAGCTGATGTGCTTTGTAGAAATGTGCTTCGCGCCACAGCCGCGTGCACTTCTTGAAGAGCTCAACTTCCAAAAGTGCAACGACAATGAAGTGCTTTTAGTATTTTGACTTCCAAATCTGCTTCACGCCACAGCGGCGTGCAATTTTTGATCTCACATCTGTTTTTGATCTCTCTCTCTCTCTCTCTCTTCTGTCTCTTTCTCTTCTGACCCGTCTCTTTTATGACTGCTCTCGCCACTGCTGCTGCGTCTGCCCGTAAATCGGAAGTTTGACTTCTCAATCCAACGGATATCCCATTAAATCCAATATAATCCCACTAATCTCCCATAAAATCCCACTGATACCCATGAAATCTAAACATACTCCATTATATCCCAATAAATCTAATATCCAATGAAATCCTATGAATATCCCATTATCCCATTAAATGATGGTAAAATCCCTTTTTCTGGGTGCCATCTTTACCACAAAACTTGTGTTACCATCGCCCGGAGCCTCCTCATCGGAGACCACTGAGTCGTGCCTCCGAGACCAGTGGTTAATTCTTGACCCATTGTTTAGATAAAAACAAATAAATCAATGATAACCATTTAATGGTTTAAGACCATGTGATGATAATTGACAATTCTGAAATTTTGATCATCACATTATTAATTTGTCGATCACCGGCGTTAATTCTCATAGTTGACCCGATTGTGTATTATAAATAACAATGGTTGATGATTATTAGACGCTTAAGGTCTATTTGTGGTATTTGTGGTTTTAAAAAACACTGACCATTGATCATAGATATGGTTGATGATAACCAACAATGGTTTAATGATAATTAATACATCCCTTGTAAACAAGTATGGTAGCTAACAATGATTGATGATAGATCACAATCTATAAGGCCTATGTAAGGCCTAAGTCAATATCCCTACAAAAGATGGCAGCTCCCACTGAGCCGACATGCGATGGATTATGGATAAATTTGGGGCTAACCGGAAATTGGGGATGACTCCCCTTACCAACCACGGATTCACAAAATCCTTATGATGTCAATGGCCATTGTAGATAACTCATAATGAAACTATTAACAATTAACAAATTGTGGTAACACCATTATTGTTAATTATCATCACCACTATTGTGAATTATCATGATTTTCAATAATTAATGATTCAATGAAATTTGATGGATTGGTTTTCTTGGGAAAATCGACCAGAAACCATTGTTTACCAGGTCAGGAAAGTGAGCGGGGTTTCCAGTTGCGATTTTCTCACCAAAACCAGTCAAATGAGACATGCTTTGGACGTTGAGCGAAGGATTTTCTTTGGAAGAAGCAGAACTCCATGACCTCCTTTGGAAGAGACCTCTTTGCTGTCAAACCACTTTACGAAAAGAAGGTTCGAGACGTACTAATTATTCTCATGGATATTCATGACTACCCGGCCATCATATCATGTTGGTTATGTATATGTACACATATCCCTCTTTACCATGTATTACCATGTTCCCACTACATGGCAGTGTGTCAAAACCTTGTACCCCTGTAGTTCACATCAAAATAGCTGGTAAATGGATGTTCATCCCCCTAAAAATGGTATTAATAGGTATTGATCCATACCCACATCCAAATTCTATGCCTGTTGTGGTACACCCAATGTCACCATCAAAGGCTTGGCTTCCAACCTCGCCTGCTCGGACACTGAACATCAGCGCCGAGATGTTGATCAAAGGCCTGGAAACGGAACTTCGGCTTTTTTGCGAGTCAGCAACCGTTCAACGGCCTCGAAAATCATGACTAATAAGGATGTAAATGGATTTGAGTCGAAACCCTGGTACCCTGGGTACCCTATAATAGCTGGTTAATGGATGGTTATTTCCTCAAAATTGGTAATAATAGGTTTTGACCAATCCCCAAATCATGGTAAATACAATGGTTAAGAATGGTAAATCATCAGCCCCAAAAATAATAGGGATAAATGATGCGTAATAATGGTTTATAATGAAGTTACATACAACTCTGATGGATGAACAATGGATAAGCGGTATATTTTACGAATGTGGTTACAATAATTAGTGACACAACCACCAAAGCCAAGATAAGTGGTATATTCTGGGGATATAATGTTCATGAAGATTTACCAAATATTGGATCCCATGATGGGAATACAATGTGATACAATGTGGTAAAGGGTATAAACCTCTATTGGGGGTTGTTTATTATTGGCGTTACCACATTATAATCTTTAAACTGGGTTCACAAAGATGTTGGCGTCCAAGATAAACGAACTGATACAAAACGGGTGTGATCCACAAAGTTGTATTCAAAGTCACCAAAATGGTGATGTGCTATAGATAGAAATTAAATATCTATCAGCCACAAGTTTGCGTGGAAATTGATAAGTAGTAGGAACAACTTTGATCGTGGCGGCATGGAAATCTGAAAATATTTCGGAAATGCTGGGGAAACAAGAATCTATGGACTTTGGCTGAATTGTAATATTTATTGGTTCACTAAGCTGAAAATAGCTGGAACAAGCTCAAATAAGGCCGGCCAAATGGGTTTTGATGGAGAAGAAATGCAAATATATATATATACATATATATATATAGAAAGGATTTTCCATTGCCATGTTTGATTCCCGGAGGAAAATGATGATGAATTATGGATTCATAGGACATCCCAACTCGCCAATTTGAATCAGATCCAAGGCCATCACCTTGCGGCCCGAGTATGATCGTGACCTGCCTCAGGCTGATCGCAGATGCTAGCCGACATCAGCGTGGGAAGAAATGGCCCTTGCGTCCAATTTCTCGAAGAGATGGATGATGATGATGATGATGATGATGATGATGATGATGATGATGACGATGACGATGACGATGACGATGACGATGACGATGACGATGACGATGATGATGATGATGATGATGATGATGATGACGATGACGATGACGATGACGATGATGATGATGATGATGGTGGTGATGATGATGAGGAGGAGGAGGATGAGGAGGATGATGATGAGGATGAGGATGATGAGGATGATGAGGATGAGGATGAGGATGATGATGATGATGATGATGATTATGATGATTATGATTTTGATTTTGATTTTGATTTTGATTATGATGATACTGGTACTGGTACTGGTACTGTTACTGATACTGATTTTGATACTGATACTCATACTCATACTGAGAAGGATGATGAGAACGACGACGATGACGACGATGATGATGAGGATGATGATGATCAGGATGATCAGGATGATCAGGATGATCAGGATGATCAGGATGATCAGGATGATGATGAGGATGAGGAGGAGGAGGAGGAGGATGAGGACGAGGACGGTGAGGATGATGAGGCTGAGGATGATGATGAGGATGAGGATGAGGATGATGAGAATGATGAGGATGATGAGGATGATGAGGATAAGGAAAAGGGATGAGGAGGGCGAGGAAGAGGAGGAGGGGGAGGGGGAGGAAGAGGAGGAGGAGGAGGAGGATGACGATGCGACGATGACGACGACGACGACAACGACGAGGAGGACGGGGAGGAGGAGGAGGAGGATGCAGTAGTAGTAACAATAAAGTAGTGATCATATATAGAAAAATACTAATAATACAAATAATACAAACAATACTAACAATACGAATAGTAAAAATAATGCTAATAATACCAATAATACTCATAGTAGTCATAATATTCATAATAATGATAATGCACGCCTCCTAAACATGACCAGTTTATCTGTCTTTCCTGAAGCCTTCAGGAACCCAGTGGCAATTACCTCTGAGCATCGCACCAAATGACTGGAAAGCCCCGGTGGACACCTTGCTGTCTCCGAGAAGCCCTGAGGTTCAGATCCTATGGTGAGTTAGATAGGAAATGAGGATAGAGAGGGATTTTTGGGGGGGATACAATGTTGAATTTAACCGTTTAACCATCAAGAATGGGGACTTAATTAAAAGTAAATCTATGGCAATACACTGGGATATACAACGAACCAACTATGTTCAATTTGGGTTTGCTAAATAATAGGGTAACCCCCAACTCCCATTGAGATGGCATGGGTCATGCCTCTCGTGGCTGACGGGGAGCAATGTGACCTTTGGGTCACCATTTAGAGGTGTCCAATCCATGGAGGTACCCTAAAATCAACCATTTATAGATGGATTTTCCTTCATATACCATCCAGCTATTGGGGTACCCCCGTGTATGGAACCTTCATGTTCACCCCGTCGCTGGGTCGGCGCACCTCCTCGTTTCGGTTCCATGGGCGAGACCTAGGCTGCAACGGGCATCATTACAGGATAGTGTCTCCCAGATATGTTTGTTGGTTTATAAACCCCATAAACTATAGTTATATCTACCATAAAGCGTAGTTAAGCCACTTATAAGGCAACTTAGCTATCTTGGGGGCCCTACCCTCATTTTACTATGTCGATCGATAAGAAGTGCTTTTTGGTACACCATTTTAACCCATCTCCCAATGAATTTTCTTCTTCCAACTTCACCATGGGATGTAACTTGCCCGTGATAGTAACTCGACGAGACAAAACCCCATGCCATTCGGTTTGGAGATAACTTAATGTATAGCCTCCTGTAATCAAACATGGCCATGGAAAATTTGCTCGTTCATGGATGTTTTTCCTATAGAAACCTCCATTTCTTTGGTATCTCCACAAGCAACATCTATGATATCCTATAATCATGGCCAGATCCCCATATCATCCATGATCCATTGACCTCCCCCCATAACACCCCTTTCTTCCAGGTGCCAGGCTTCTGTCGGGGGGCACGAACCCGCGGCAGGGATGCAGTGAATCCAGAGTCCTCACTATTGGTGGTACCTCCCATATACATATGTATGTATGCATATATATATATATATACATTATATTATATAATATTATATTATGTTCTATTATATTATATAACATAAAAATTATATTATATTATATTATATTAAATTAGATTATATTATAGGATATTATATTATATTATAATATATTATATTCTATTATATTTCTATTATATTATATTATATTATATTATGTTATATTATATCATATTATATTATACTATACTATATTATATTGTAAAATATTATATTATATATATTATATATTATATTATATTATATGATATTATATTATATTATATATATTATATATATTATATATATTATGTATATTATAGATATATATTATGTATATTATAGATATATATATATTATATTGTATATATTATATATTATATATATTGTATAATATATATTATATATATTGTATATATTGTATATATTATATTATATATATATATTATATTATATATATATATTATATTATATATATATATTATATATTATATATATTATATATATTATATATATTATATATATTATATATATTATATATATTATATATTATATATATTATATATATTATATATTATATATATTATATATATTATATATATTATATATATTATATATATTTTAAATATTATATATATTATATATATTGTATATATTATATACATTATGTTATATATTATATATAGTGTATATATTATATATATTATGTATATATATTATGTATATATATTATGTGTATATATATATATCATATTACATATATATAAGATATAATATATATATATATATATATATTAGATATATTATATATATTATATTATATTATATATATATATTATATTATATTATATTATATATTATATATTATATATTATATATTATATATTATATATTATATATTATATATTATATATATACATAATATATATATATATGTATATATCTTATATATTATATATATAAGGCCTAAGGGCTAAAATTCAGGGAATATCCCCACAACATATGGCCAAAAATATGGTACAGATATGGAGATGCAAAAAAAGTATACAAAAGGAAAATACCCGAGAAAAAATGATGAAAAATGAAGGTTCATAGCTGGGACATTGCCACGTTTGATTGTCGGAGGTATGTGCCATAATGGGGAGGTAACCTTTTCTGAGGGGAAAATTAATGGGGATAATTAGTATATCATCAAGTTGATATGGATATATACGGATAATGATCATCCATCTCACGCTATGGGAATCCGAACATGGTGGCTACATAGATCTTTATGAAAATGGATTGATGGCCATCCTCCAAATATGGATATACAATCCGACGGTTTGACCATGGCACAGAAAAAGAGACTACGGTAAATCTAGATCTACATACATGGGATATGGATCTACATCTTGTTTATCGGGCGAATGGCAAACAACTGTCTGGTTTCTAAGTTTGCTTGGTTCAACTTATGTTGGTGAAACTTCTCCCAATGAATATCATGGACTCTAGGACTGCAGGCCTCCAGGTGCTGCCCCCATCATTGAGGTCCCTCAACCCCAAGATTACCATGTTTCAAAGGAAAAAATGATGACGGTAACCATATGTAACCATGGAAAATCCGTCAATTCTTGAGGTTTTCTTGACCGTTTTCATCCACCATGGGACACCGTGCACGGCGTTCCGAAGAACTTCACCCCGAAGGGCGTCCTCCACCGCATGTTGCAACACCACTGGTGCCTGGAAGTCCTTGGATCATCCACTAGGATAACCACAGGAAGTCCAGGGGGGCGAACCAGGGTTAACTAGGGGAAGTATGCCCCTGGAATCGGATGATCTTGTAGGATCTTGTTCAGACGAGAAGAACTAGGTCCTAGGTGCGGTTCTTGGGATTACAAAACAACTCACACCGAACTTCCAACAGAGCCACACAAAAAATGCCACTGTCACTTCTGGGCGGTCAAATCGCCATCTGTAGTACTGTGCCATCCCATCTTGCGGAGTACAAAAGATTTTTGTTGCAAGCCCTGACAATGTAAAATCATCGTTCCGAAAAGGAAAATCATCTACCCTGTGGTATTCAAGGGTGGCTAGCTAGATCCATCGTTTAGTTCCATGATTTTCCCAGCTATAAAGCTCCATGTTTGATGAGAATATTTCCCTGCGGCCTGCCACATTTGATGTCACCACAGGGTAATATCCTAATTATTATCCCACTTGGAATCCCCATTCATATTCGCTATCCCATCATGGTGATACCGATCCCATTACGACCCACTATCCCAATTATTGTACCATTACATATACATATACATATACATATACATATACATATACATATACATATACATATATACATATACATATATACATATACATATATACATATACATATATACATATACATATACATATACATATACATATACATATACATATACATATGTGTGTACATACATATATATATATGTGTGTGTGTTCCCATGGTAAACTTCTGATTCCGGTGTTTTCTAGTGCCAGCTTCAGCCCCGCACGGCATGCGACTTAGAGATGCCTGTGGGTCACGGCCCACGACCACGAAGGATGTTTTTTTGTGTCAAACCATCCGGTCATATCATGGGACAATAACTACGTAGGCCCTGTAGGCCGAGAATCAAACATGGCACTTTAAAATCCTAGGAAAACCATCGAACTATAGTAACTATAGCTAGGGGATTTCCACTTGCTGTGTTTGATTTTCAGAAGGTATTTTTCAAAGAATACCAAAGTTTCTGACACATCCAGGCCCGTCACGGATCATAAACCGCTACTATCATCATGACTGTGGATCCCGTGGATGGGGATCAAAAAATGATGACCATAATGTATAACATATCATAATGTAACAGTTTATAACTGTATAACCGTTACCTCTATCTTTTAAAGATCTAATAAAAATCCAATGAGCATCTTGCGAATCCATGGATTTATTGATTGTTTTTTTTTCGAATGATTCCCAGGTCATGAATCCCGTCGTGACCGTCGTGACGATGAAATGGTCATGTTCCGCAAAGATCTCACGACCCCAGCACCATCAATGAATGATGATAAACGATCCGATTACGAAAGACGATATTGGATAAAGATAGATACAGTATCAAGTAGAAACTCATGACTTATTGATAGATGATAAATGGGATGATCATTGGAGCATTGCAATTTTCCAGTGCCAAGCCTTCCAGCGAAAACTGAGAGAGTCTGGTGCTCACTGGAAGATCCTACGAGGCCACTTTTCGCATTGGGTATACCTCAAAAAGGGCCATCTAGAAATACTAAAATGATGATTCACCAATGGATTTGGGGAGTACTATTTTCAGACAAACCCATATTCAATTTGAATATGTTTGAAAATGGATGAAAATGGGCATTTACCTCAAGTTATAAGAATTTCAATGATTTTGGGCTAAAATGATGATAAACCATCAATCAAATGCGCGGGGTTTCTCATAATTTCAGACCAACCCAAATTGATATAAAACATTATAAAACTCTCCCTGACCCGAAGCCAAATGATCCCTGGGTCCCTGGGAAACAGCGTCGACATGGGTGTGGCCACCGGGTCCAAAGCCTGGGAAAGCCATGATGCTGCGACGCATGGGCCATCGTCATGGAATCCATGTCACTATGGTTGTCCCACCATGGGAATCCAAACAGAATGGGTCTGTTAACCCAATGAAAATAGGGATGAGATGGGATGAGCATCAGCGAAGTGACGGGAAAGCAACCCATGTTTGGAAAAATATGAAAACATACTTGGAAAAACAGAAAGTTTGGAGGCGCATCATGGCACATCTACATGATGACCCATCTTTCTGCTCTTTACCTGCAACCAACTTGCAAACCAGGTCCTTGATCCCCTGGGAAAGAAGTCAAAAAAAAAGATGTTCTGACTTGGAAGGCACAAAGAAGGACCAGCAAAAGCTAAGACTCGAAGGGGCTCTCAAAAGCCTCAAGAAACTCCACAAAAATGCCAGATTTCGCCACCACACCCTGGACACATTTTTCTTTGGGCTTCCCAGGAAACGGCCCCCGTCCAAGGAACCATGGGTCCAGCGTCCTCGCCCTCGAAGGCCTGTGAGTTCTGTGACTCCAAAGGTATCAGCCCAGAAGGAAATTACTTTGGCAAGCACTGTATATACATATATTGTATATTACCCTCTGGTAAATTAACATAGACCCTGGCAGATAGGGGTTGGAAGACTAGTTTCCATTAAAACTTGGTGATTTTCAGGGTCTATGTTTATTTACCAGAGGGTATATTCTATATATATATAACATGTTGTATATATATATACACACACACACATAAAGTGATCATAAATGAATGTTTTAGTATTGAAATCACAGCCACAAAGTGAATAAATGCAGCTGTGAACGGTTCTTTTACTGTGATTCATATATATATATATATATACTGAATGGATCAAAAATTGACCAGCCGTCCAATTTTCGGGGTAGATCAATTTGAGCCATACTATGGTTCATTCATAACCCCAGTGATCATAAGTCCATTTCCATCTGGATTAGAGCCTACTTGCTGGCCATGGCATGAGTTCAGTCAATGGGTGTTCCCAAAAGCATGGGATGGCGAATGTCTCAAATGACAAGTTCTTCTTGGTCCACTAGATCTCGAATTTGACCTATACCCATGGACCAATCGGCAGACGTTACCAACAATCTCGGTTTCAAGAAATTGAGGGCATCCACATCCAATTTTGTTGATTTTGGCCAGTGTTTGGAGTCCTCAAAATCTTTGGGCAAACCCAATACAAGTTTTCGAGTGAGAAAATACGTTTTCTTGGCAAATTCCAATGTTTTGTTGGTAGAATGGGCTGAATCCCTCTGATAAGTTTGGCTGAAATCATGTCAAATCCGAATTTGGGTTGATGAAATGGAACTTTCCTGAAATGGGGGTACCCCTAGTTATCATCCATCTATAGATAGCTTTTCCACTATAGACCGTCCAGCTATGGGAGTAGCTCCATGACTTTGGTCCTCTGTGGGCCTCTGCCACCACCATGGACCGTGGGGTGGAGCATTCACCGGCAAGCCAGGCCTTCGATCCAATGATCCAAGGGGCATCCAATTCATGGTGGATCAATGGGATTTGAATGGAATTTTAGGTGGGATTTGCCCAGTAGAAGTCATTGAAAGATGGTTGTTTGATGGATAAGTGATCCAGAAATCATAGAACACGTGAGGTTTTGACGGTTAAGTTCTACGGTTGAAACCATGGAAACCATGGCGTTTCAATTTTTTGTCCAGGTTTGCTGTATCTTTGCGTGAAACCAATTCTGGGGCATCACGCAAATCCTACTGTGGATGGATAGATGGTTTATCCCATTATTTATAGGGGTTCAACCATCCAAGGTGGTGCAGGATTTCTTCCATCCACAGTAGGAGCTACAATTTTCTGGGATTGTCAGGCACTTTTTTCCGTACTACTTTGGCCCAAACATGTTTTTTTTGATGATGATGCGGTATCGCTTTTGGTGAATCAACACGGCGATCCATGAGAATTGTCCAAGTAAGAAAACAAACAACTTTGATTATGCTGTAGCTCAAAAACACATGGACAAAGGATGTCCAAAACGAGTCTACTTACTGGTACTAAACGCAGGGAATTTTCGGGAATGATCCATAATCACTAGTAATAATCATCCCACATCCATTCCCTACGTAAAACGCACCAGTAAGTCTAAAATTGGGTTCCCTCTTGCGGGCTACAACCATCTTGCGGCAGGCCTCAAGCGCGCGCTCCCGGAACTGTGCAGAGGTCAGCCACATGCCTTGGCATCTCGACTGGGGTCTGGCCATGGGGTCCCTACTTGGAGGTGCAGTTCGGTAGTTCCAGTAGACTAAGTGTGCATATATACAATATATAATATTATATATATATATGTGCATATGACCATAGCTTTAGGGCCCCATCTCCCAACTTATGGGAGTTTGGGAGTTTATATATATATAGCCATGATTAGTGTTATCATGGTGAATCTTGGATGCCTGCCTTTTTTAAGCTGGTAAATGCACTAAAATCTACTAATTCTACCATTGATAGATATTGATAGCAAAAGATTAGAGTACTACAGTAAAGTATCTATACAACCAAGGTTGACCCAGTTGTATGACCATAGTTATAGGGGGCCCATATCCCAACTTGTAGGAGTTTATTGTCATGGTTGTACAGTTATATCCATTTAAAATCATAAAACAGTGTAAGCTCAACTGCACCCCCAAGTAGTTGGGTTGACTGGGCAGTTGTCCCCCAATCTTCGAAGCTCCCCACACCCGGCTGCATGCATCCGGCTTTCATCACCATTTTCTCCACCTTGTCTGGGCTTCCGAAATCTACGTGGCTCAATTTGGCCTTGCCGATTAGCAAAGCTGCGAAACCAGACACTCAAAACTTCCACCAGTTCACATCCCAAGGGTCAACTGAGGTTACTTCTTACTTCTGCTAGGCTAGGAGCACAGCCGGTTTCCATCTTCCATTTGTTCCACCTCCCGCGATTCCGTGGTCGGGTCTTTGCAACCAATCGCTGGCGGAACCAAAAACGCTTTCGGTGAAACGCTTTCGAATCACGGCCGTGAAGGCCGCGAAACCGAACCTCGGCCGCTACCGCGCAATGGGCTCGTGGAGCAACTCATAGGCTGGATCCGGGTGATCTGCACAATCCTTGGCGAAAATGATGGGGAATTGGGATTGTTCAAACATGGAGGTTTTCATAGGATTTACCATGAATTACCCCACTCCTACGGCAAGTTTGCTATGCTTAGCGGGAATAATAAGGTCTTGAACCTCTATTTTGGGGTGTCCTATTCTCAAACAAATGCGTATTACAGAACACCTGGGGCGGCACTAGTTGGACAAGCACATCCAACAATAATGGCTATGTAGACCGGTGCACATCAGTGTGAAAATGGCGTCTAGCCACAATGTTTCTATCATATTCAAAGTGATATGTCTGAAAATGGGGGATTGCCCCAAGTAAAAAGGGCAATTTCAATATCAGCCATCAAATTTGGGGGTACCCAATTTTATAGACAACCCCACATCCATATGGTCTGAAGTTATAATGTTACATCCCATTATCCTCTTTTTTCATCATTGGCAAGATTGATACAGCAAAAAAACAACCTTAAAATCCCCTAGATGTACTGTGTTTAATTGTTTATTATCATGTTTATCATATCTACTCTTCGCCAACTTCACATAGTTACGGAAAATCACCATGGTTAATAGCTAAATTATCCATTTACCAGAAAAGGTGTCCCAACGAATCCAAATATGTAATTTAAGAAAAAGGAAAAACACATATTGTTGGTTACCCTCCAGTAATCAAGCGTGGCAATTGAAAATCCCTATGGATGGAGGATGAAATAGGAAAATAATCTATAAATGGGCAAGTTTCAAGTGCCACGTTTGCTTAGCTTACCGGAGGGTATTGTTGATTACAGTATATCCCAGTGCATTCCCATTGATATTCCATCATGGTCAAAAATTGCCATGATATTCCCATCATTCTCCCATTATATCCGCATTAAGATTCCATTCAATCCGACTGAATAATAGGTATATTCCGTTAAATCCTATTAAATCCCAATAAATTCCATTCAATCCCACTAAATAATTGTTATATTCCATTCATTCCCATTAAATGCCAATAAATCCCACTAAATAACCACTATATTCCATTCAATCCCAGTAACTCCCAATAAATCCCATTAAAACCCAATCAATAATCGTGATATTCCATTCAATCCCATTAAATCGCCTTAAAACTAATTAAATAAGCGCTATAGGTATTCCATTCAATCCCATTAAATCGCCTTAAATCTCACTAAATAATCGTCCATTCAATCCCAGCAAATCCCCTTAAATCCCACTAAATCATAGATATATTCCATGCAATCCCAGTAAATCCCCGTTAAATCCCCGTCAAATGATGACACCCCCGGCCGGGCCGTCCGCGGAACGTCACAACCATCCGAGCCACTGACACAGTGGCGATGCCCGCGGCAGGTCCGTTTGCTACGGCCGCCACAAGGTTGGAAATATCGGCCCCACAACGAGCCTATGTCAAGGTATATCAAATGTCACATATGACTCATGGGCATGAAAACTATTAAGATATGAACTAATGGGTATGAACTGATGGGTTTATGATATATCTTAAGATATATCCCATGATAGGGTATTAAATATTTACAGTTTCGATATAACTATAATATGATACATACCATTATACAGTTATAATGGTATTTTTCGTGGGATATGTATATAATAATGGGATGTTACAACGATGTCTTCAACTATGTCATTTTTTTTTGTCAAGACGTCCAGCACTGGAGGGTTTATCATGGGATAATATTACTTCAATGATGGAAGAAATCCTGCACCAGTTGACAAGTGATTTACCCCATTTTTTTTCAGGTTTTCTACCATCCAAAGTGGTGCAGGATTTCGCAACCACCCACAGTAGTTCAAACCATGATGGATCATGATGGACCGATTACATGATAAGTGCTACAAGATGGACAAAAATGATGGATCATACAAGGTTTTTGTAACTTGAGGAAAAAAAAAACTAACACCTTGGATAGGATAATATGACATGAGAAACAGAAATATCCGTTTATTTCCCCCAGTTTCTATCAATATAACCAATATATTTATTAGTGAAATAAGCCATTGGGGGGACATAATAGCAAATGGGTTCGAACTAATTAAGGTTTTGTTCACGATTATGGGTTACAATGGGATAGTGGGGAATAACTATTAATTGTGTAGAATGGGTTAGAATGTCTTAACCAAACATGTGGGGTTAAGATTGGGATACAAGTAACTTGTAATAATGCGATATCATGGTGATATAATATGGTATATACACTATGTAACTATGTAGGTATATCAACAACCTAATATGATAGCCGGCTAAACATCAATTACACATAAATCATAATGGGTTGTAACTATTAACATTGGTGTACTGATTTACAATAATGGGAATTCATAGGGAACAACTGTATGTGTATATATATACATACACATGTATTTGCCCAATTTAACATAGCTATGGTTATGACGTCGAGAGACCTTCATTCATTGGAAAATGTAAAATAATTAAAATTATGAAAAAAACAAACAAAAAAAAACAAACCAAAAAAAACAAACAAAAACAAAACAAAAACAATAAAAAGAAACAGTAAACAAAACAAAAAACAACCAAGAAACAATAAACAGCGCACGGTTTGAAACTCAGAGAGACTTTGTGCTTCTCCCTAATCGCAGCAGCTTGTTGATACCACTTGCTCTCAAAGTCCACAGTCTGCTGCGTTGCCTGCTGCCAAGCTGCGACCAAGACTCCCAAAATCCAACAAGGGCTGCCTAGTCAAAGCTTCAAACAGTGCGCCTATTGCCCTTGATGGGGGGCAAGCAATCAGTCTAGGGGGTGCCCGCGGCGGCTCGTGGTACCCCTTTTTATTTTTTTTGTTTTCTTTTTGTTTTCCTAGGGAAAAAACCCAAAAAAAAAAAACAATCCAAAAAGGGGGTACCACAAAAAAAAGGAGTACCACGAGCCGCCGCGGGCACCCCCTAGACTGATTGCTTGCCCCCCATCAAGGGCAATAGGCGCACTGTTTGAAGCTTTGACTAGGCAGCCCTTGTTGGATTTTGGGAGTCTTGGTCGCAGCTTGGCAGCAGGCAACGCAGCAGACTGTGGACTTTGAGAGCAAGTGGTATCAACAAGCTGCTGCGATTAGGGAGAAGCACAAAGTCTCTCTGAGTTTCAAACCGTGCGCTGTTTATTGTTGTTTGTTTTGTTTATTGTATGTTTATTGTTTTTGTTTTGTTTTTTGGAGAGTGATGGCAATGCGTGTCCGGACGTGGTTCGACGCTGATACGCTGATACGCTGAGTAGCTGAAAAGGTAGCACGCTGATCAATGGTTTTTTGTTTTTTTTTGGTTTGTTTTTTTGGGGTTTGTTTTTTGGGTTTGATTGTTTTTTTTGTTTTTGTTTAATTATTTGCTGGTTTCCAGTAAAATGAAGCCTTTTGCGTCATAAAGCTATGGCAACGTCATCTATAAATGGTGGACGCCATGGTTAAGTTACATATGGTGATAAACCATGCACATAGCCACTTTTGGGCGGATATCATGCGGATATAGTATATAATCAAGTTGGGATGGATGTAGTTCATGGTCATCCTTGCCATGGGAATCCAAACATGGATATGACTCATCCACAAGGACAGGGTATACAATCCAATTAGCTTCACTGAAGTTAATCATCCAACTTTTGACCATGACGCAAATGGGGATAGATGGGCGTGAACATGGAGTACACCCCCTTAATGATCTTAATGGCAAGTTTTTTGGGAAAAATGCACTTTTAATGGGAAATGATGATGATGATGATGATGATGATGATGATCAAGCATGTGTGCCATTGTCAAAAGATGCTTTTTTTGTGTCGAAACATCCCAACATCCCCCGCGATGGGATGAACATCGGGGATACACAACATGTGGGATCCACAACATGTTTTTTTCATGGGAAGATGTAAGCATAATTTAGATCGTTCATGGGATATAACCAACAACACTTGGGGTAAAATCCACCAACAATGCGAGTTCTCCCAACCATAAAATTCTGTGATGTCATGGGGTAACCAACAATAGTACATGGAGCTTTAAAATCCGGGATTCAGCCCTTAAATATGTGGCGATTAAATCATGGGAAACATGCTGTTCAGTACGCCTTTCAGTCGTTTTTTCCTGTTTCGAAGTTTTTTGGAAATTGCCAAGTTAGCCATGTTTCAATAGATTGGTTTTCTAGGGAAAATCTTCACCGGAAACCGGTTTTTCCATAGATGTTCCCATTAGATATGAGGCTTTCCTCTAAATTTTCCCTTAAACCAATCCATTGAATGTCACTTGGCGAAATCCGCAGTTTTCCTTTTGGGCGACTGGCCTTGATCCTGAACCGAACCGTCGAACCCCCGAGGCCAGCCTTCATGTTGCCCCGCTTGGAGCAATCTGCTACCGCCATTGATCTCGGAACACAGCACCCTTGTGCTCGAGTTCCATGTAAACAAAATGGGAACTAAGACATCAACACATACATGTATATCTGTATATCTATATTATATATATATATGTTATTATATGTTGTATGTTATATATATATACATATCGGGTAACTATGGATTTAAGCAACTTTCATCGATTCTCACTTTGACTCACAATCAATGTGGATTCAACGTGTCAGAAGAAATGGCTTTAACCGCTTTAACCCAAACCAAAATAGGGATGCAACCAACCAGACAGCTGAGGCAACGGCACAAATCGGGAGATCCAGGCAAAGGACGAGATCACTTCCAAAATATCGATGCTACACGCCCTAAGCCGCGGATTTGGCACCTCCACTTTGTCGCGATGGGTGTTTCTATCCACCTTGAAGGTACGAGTAATTGGTGACGGTAAGAAATAGTGTATGCCCCCATTATATTCTGTGCGTATTTATATAAATATACAGATACATCTGAACAGTCCGAAAAGAAGCAACAATACCCCCTCCCAAAAAAAAAAAACAGGGGGAAATCATGTTCCATACTTTCCCTGTCCAAAATGCAATTTTCTGGGAGTAAATGCACCGTTGACACACCCAATGATCATAGTTTTTTTTGGTTTACATATCCAATTCATGTCCATTAGATCCCATCAAATCTCCATATTGTTGGGTATAGTTGTATCCCAATTCTTTTCCTGTGAAATCCCCCTTGCGGACAACGCCAAGCATCTTGGGATCGGGACATGCCGCGGTGGCCGTGCCAATTTGTAGCGCTGCTCGAACCAAGAAGGATGCCTTGGGAGTCATGGGGCATCCATGTGACAGAAAGTGGCGAAGTAAAGAGTGGCCACCAAACATGTCTCTTGTTCATATTGTGTTGTTTGTTTCTTTTAATCAACGAATTAGGTGTGCAGTACATACTAGAACTATAAGAATCATTAGAAGCAATGGAGCTAGAATTGGCCAAGCACACTGGTGTCAAACCGGAATCTTGCCCACAATTTGTTGCTTCACTACACCACCACTGGCTGCTCCTCGTCACATGGGCTGTATGATGAGTCTCTCGAGAGACTTGCGGGATCTCAAACCGTGAGGATCAAAAAATAATGTCTCGAGGATGTTACAAGTGATGTGTCCATAATTTCCAGGTATCCAATTATTCTATATTTTTAATTTTTAAGGGAGTTCCTCTATATACAATATAACCTACTTACATATGTATATATATATATATGTAACCTTGAATAGATGGGTAGCAGACAATTAGACATGGGTTTGTACATTACTTGATGTTCTTGCATACATCATATAATAGACTTAATATACTAGAGAGAGGGAGAGAGAGAGGGGTGTGTGTGTGTATATATATATTATATATATATATTATATAATATAATTATATATATATAATATATATACATGTATAATATATATATATATATATATAGTCTGCAAATGCATATCCCATGTGAAGCGCATGGAGTTGAGAGAATTCAACGTTAGCTTCAAGATGTTGAGATTGAAATATTCATGATAATATGAGGAAGGGCAGCATGGAAAATGGATGAAAATGGTGTGTCTGAAAATGTTGTACCCAAAAAAAACTGGTTTTGAAATTGCTTTTTGGGGCTATCCCTGGCTTTCGGACACAATGAATATCTGGGTCAGCTCACCCTACCCATCTGGATCGTAGATCGTCAAAGCCAAGGTGCTGCATTGGTCACATCCATCACACACATTGTAATGTCCATGGCATGCTCTTGATTGTCCTTGGCGGCAAAGACCAAAAAAAGAATGCCAAAAAGCTGGAAAGAAGTTGCATGTTCATTGCATGACAAGCCGCAACCCCCAAAAACGATGCTGACTTTGTTTAAAAGAAAAACATGTCCAAGTTTTTGTGGTAACAGGTGGCAACTTTGAGTTTTTTGGCATCTGTGGGCAGTGATGCAGGGATCACTTAGCCCAGCTATGCCAGGTGGCCATGGTCTTTGATGGTCTTTGGATGTTTCTGGAAGTTTCTGACGGTAGCGTTGATCATCCAAAACATGATTGAAAAAAATATAGCTTTGATCCATCCCAAAAAAACATTCCAAGGCTCGTGTTCCCTCTTAGTGATGGCCAAAATGGTCTTGGCCGGACCTTTGGCTGCTGCAATGAAGCGCTCGTAGTATGGTTTCTTCCTGGTCTCGAAATGCAGCAGCCCGGTCAGCCGGCCCTTGAAATCGCAATGCCTGGAACGAGCACCAAGGCCAATCAGCCATGGATTTCTGCTCTGAGTTCTCCTAAATCCAGGTCTTACAATCCCAAAATCCAACAAAAAATCATTAAAAAAACCCTTTGGAATTTCTGGCTTCGACCCCCCATCCCCAACCTCTTCACCCCTGCGCCACTGGAGGCGATTTCACTCATGTCGGCCACCAAGGCAGTCCAGTCCGCCGCGCAGAGCGCACCGCTGTTCACTGCGTCGCTACAGCTGGAGGCGGCGAGGCTCAGGTAGGAAGCGACCCAACTGATGGACGCCACGAAGCCTAACCCGGGAAGCCAACGTTTGATGGGAAAAAAGGCTTCACCTAGGGGAGGTAGTGGGGAAAAGTGTCCGGCATGAAGACCAGAATCCCAAAACGAGATGAACCTTGGGCCAATGTTCCCCGGCCTGCTACACTGATGGCACAACCTGCTGGAGTATTGCTGGGACACTCCAGGCCGTTGTAATCAATGGCTCGGTACAACCAGACCACCGCGTGGCCCAAGTAAGCTGTGGCTTGCACCGCATCGATCACACAGGCCGTGCGCACGAAGGGTAGGATCTCCTGTGGGTACGGCTCGTAGGTGATGAAGAGATCACGCAGATTCCGCACCGGGCTGGCGGGTTGAAGTCCTAAGAAATGCGCAGCCGGAAGGGCGCAGGGCTTAAGTGCAATTAAGTGAACGTGTGAACTGTTTGAATGACCATGGCAGTAGGGGTTATATCCCAACTTATGGAGGTTATAGTCCCATTCATATCATTTTGGATATCTATCGATAGTCCCTAGCCTGCACCCCCTCCAGTGGTCAGTAATGTCAGTCATGGGCTCAGCGAACTTCAGTGGCAAGGAGCCCTGTGCACGTGTGATCACTCTGGAGATGTTCGGAATCTCTTCCCACTCCTCTAGCAGATCCGCAGTGGCCCTTAGTTTGCAGGCATAATCTTGGCATCCTTTTGCCACTGTAGATGGTTGATACACCAAAAATAAAGGTCGCGTCACCAAAATGAACTCGGCCATTCAAGTATATGTCAAGTGTAAGGCCATTTTCCCTCAGTTCACCTCCTTATATTCAAGTCAGTGAATCTGATTAGTACCACAAAGAAAACTCCACAACATCCGTACTTGGAAGTGCAGTTCCAACTGTAAGTGGATATATCAGCATAATTATGGGGGTTTAATATCCCAGCTTATGGGGCTATAAATTCCCATGGTTATACCTAGTTTACCTAGTTGTTTCCATATTTGTTCACCTCTGTCCACAGGTTCATCTTCCAGGCTACGCCAGGTCAAAGTGTGAGGGACGAGGATAGAAGGCGAACGCCACAAAGCCCAGGCAGAGTAAAGTTACAGCAGCACTGACGCTGCGCCAGTACGACACGCCCGGTTCGGGGCTATCCGACTCCTGGCAAAAATCGGTAATGAAAAGGACTACTCCTGCCAGGAACACCTAGACCCTCAATAGCCCATGTCATATCCATATCATAGCCATAGTATATCCATATTATATCCATATCATAGCCCATGCAAAAATAGTCGTTTTGCCTTCAAAGCAAGCACCTTCTGACACCCTTTCCAGCCTCTGCACCGGGGGACTCGAAACCATCCTCTATCTCTGAATCCTGGCTTGGAGTGTCCCAGTGTAACCGGGTTTCCTGCTGTGATTTCCAAAGCTGCGACTGGATGAAAAAAAAAAAGTCCTGTTCCACCTGGTCATATCGAAGTAGCGCCGAAGACTCCGATGTCGTTTTCCAGCTCATGACCCATGCAATAAATCACAAATTCTTGAGCCACCTCTTTACGTTTTTCCAGGAAGAGAACTGTGTCGTGTAGGAAGCGGAAAAATAGGGCAGCAAGATGTGATGTTGGTGCAGTGGCTCCAATTTGCGAATCTCAGCTCGGCCATCTTCAGATACCCTTACCATCTTTTGCCTCTACTTTTATCGAATCTCGAACTACCATAACTATCCATGACTATCCATGACTATCCATGACTATATGTTCAGTACGTACTGACTCAAAAAGGCCGCTCATCTCCATTTGGTCCATCGTCGTCCATCGTTCCCTTTTTTCGACACGTTGCCACGTCGTCCATCCCTTGAAGGCCGCTGCGAGATGTCTTTGCATCGCAGGACGGCAGGTGCGGCCACGACGTGTGTCCTGATGGACCGTAGCGCCCATGAAAGGGACGAACTCAGCTGGGTATATCATAAGTTATAAAATAGTTATAAAATAGTTATAAGATGTTATTCGCTTTCAAACCAGAGCAAACCTATGGCCAATCCAAAGAACAGCGAATCAACGATTTTTGTCAGACATGGCAACAGATTCTGAAGTCGAGGAATGAGTCGCCAAAGAAAAAGATACGAAAGGTGTGGCCACTGGGTGCTAGAACTTCCAAATTCCCGATTTCAACCAAGCTTGGAGATCCCCGGAAACTTTTGAGTCCAGGGAGCTCCCTGAAATCGCCAGTAGCTACTCATCCAAGGGCATTTAGGAAAGGCAAAAGATCATTTGGGGAATGGACCCACAATCCATTATTGATCACCTTTAGAGGGATCTGAAATCATCCATTTTGCAGGGCATTTTGCAGGGTTGATGATTTTGACTCATCCCCATCTTTCCCAAATTCGACAGCAGATGCCTCGGGGGCATCAGTTGCGTGTTTCTATGCACTCACTCAAGTCGCCTGGACGCTGAAGCTCCTGAGACATGGAATCCTCACCAATCCCCGATGCGAATATGTTCAATCCAGGAACATCTATCCTTGTTTTTTCCTGCCTCCCCTCTTATTCGATGCAAGAAAACAGAAGTTCGGGCCCTTTTTGCTTGTGCAGCTTCTCGAGCAGTTTTGTAAATTTGAGCGTTGTTGCGTGTTTCTTAGATGTGTCCCTTTCCGCAAGGAAAAGAAGCAGAAAAAAAACTAAACAAATTTGCGCCAGAAAAAAAGCAAAAAAGGAGCGCAAATTTCAAAAGTGCGCCACTTCCATCATGGAAAATCTATCTCGGGATACCTTGGGCAGTTTTTTTTTCTGAAACGAATCAAAATGTCAGTGACGCATTGCACAAGATGTTTTTTTTTCCGGTTCAAACATCAATGCTACAATGGATGGTCGATGAATTGATGGCCCAATGGAATGTTGCCAATCTTCAAAGTGAAAACTGCAAACTGGCAATCAATCATATACAGTACAGCAATGTCTGGATATAGATTCTACTAATTCACCAGCCCGACTTCCAAGGCTGCACAACTTCCTTAAATCGGCCGATTGGACCGAATCCCTTCCAAAATGGCATGCGATCACCTTTGTTGTTGATGAAATTCACATTATATCATATTATATCCAAGCCAGATTGAAACTGGTACCATTCCAGTAAATTATAATCTATCCCATTACCTCCGGTCATCAAATGTTGAAGATTCCTGGAAGATCCCCGATCAAAATGCATGCTTTTTTGAATGGGAAAAGTCACAGAAGCTTTGCAACCATCAAACTCACCGGCCGATGTTCATATTACATAAACATACATATTTAATATCGCGCCAAGAGATATTCCCACACAAGGATATAATATAATGTAATATTATATTATATTATATTATATTATTATTATATATATATACATGGATATGGCCCAGGCCAGCAACCCCCCGCCACCCCCCATGTCATGGTCATGGTCCTGCAAGTACGCTGTATGTAGGAGGCTCTATGTAAGATATAGTTTACACACCCCGCCCCCCGGTGGGACGGGTGGGGGCTAGGTAGTGTGTCACTAGCATGCAAGGCAAAAAGTAGGTAGTATGTGGCGCAATGCTCCACGCCCCCCCCTGTGGGATGGGTGGGGTGTTATAGAGGTATCATGTAGATAGCGTATAGGTATATGGTTTGCACGTATGTATAGCATGCGAGACCTTGACAGTAGCTAGTATATGGCTACTATAAAGGTACTTCATGGGCAGTAACACGTTGTAAACAGAGTGATGTAGGGTGTAGCTTACCCCCTTGTCCCCCTGTGGGATGGGTGGGGTGCACGGTGGTCGTAGATGGCTAGGCCACCCCATGATGGTTGCTGGGTGGGGATAGCATTGGGGGGAGGGGCGGTTGCCGGCCGCCGGGCAGCCGGGCAGGACCATATACACATATATATATATATAGATAATATATATATATACATATTATAATATAATATATATATATATATTATATATATATTATATAATGTATATATATATATATACGTATTATATATTATATATATTATATATATTATATATACAGTATTATATATTATATATATTATATATATTATATATATTATATATATTATATATATTATATATATTATATATATTATATATATTATATATATTATATATATTATATATATTATATATATTATATATATTATATATATTATATATTATATATTATATATTATATATTGTATATTGTATATTATATATTATATATTATATATTATATATTTATTATATATTATATTATATATATAATTATCATTATTATTCTTATTATCATTATTGTTGTTGTTATTATTATTATTATTACATATAGGGAAAGTCTTCCCACAAGGGGCGGAACCTGGAGATGTTCATTCTCCAATATTTTAGCCAACTAGTATTGTGCTGTTCAGGAATTTCCCTACTCAAACCATCTGCCACTCTGCGCAGAACCGGGTCGCTTCAATTCAAGGTGTTGGCTCGTGTAGCAACTCATATTTCGGATCCGGGTTTTTAGCACAATCCTCAGAGGGCTGGCAAACATTTCCCCATTTCCGGGTCCATCACTGGATGTGGAGATCTCTTGGATTTGAACTTTGGAAAAATCACCAGTGGCACCAAATGCAACAAAGATAACATGGCGGCCAAGGTGCCGAGGTGGTTGCATAGCCAGCAGCAGGTGACATCATCAAGGCAGCGATCAAGGCTGAAATCTCCGCGCCGCAGCGAGCCTCTTGTGAGCCCAAGGTGGCACAATCGTCCACAGCTTGCACCCTCAGCGTGCGCCACCATTGGTTGAACGGAGGGGCCCTGAAGTTTGATCCACAAAAACATGGAAAAAAAAAAACGCTGAGCTCGGAACGAAAAATGCGAGATCCATGAAAAGGAGGAGATCACATTCATGATGTTGATGGCACAGTTCCTGGCAGGTCTTGGGACAAGCTGGCCTCCCCAGCAACAACTTGCTTGAAAAATAACATGAACTATAGTTACAGCTATATCTACCATAAACATCCCATAAACATCCATAGTTAAACATAGAATTCACCTAGTCATACACATTCATAAACCATCTTTGCTGTCGCCCCGGGCCCAGCCCTTGGACCTAGGGCACCTAGGGCAGCTTCCCCCGAAATTTGGGGAGGCCTTGGATCTGGACAGGCTTGGGCTGAATCTCTGATCTGCAACAAGGCACGAATGAGGAAAGACGCCTTGGTCGGGCTCCTCCCTGGCGGTTCCCTGGCGGTTCCCTGGCGGTTCCCTGGGTTCCATGGATGGTTTCTTGGGAAAGTCTGCAGGAAAGCATGGTGAAGCCATGGTTACCATAGATCTTTTTAGCCTCAAATTGATCCGGGGACTTCTGCAGATGTTCCCAAGAAAACCGATTGGGATTGGTGCGTCAACAGATTTTCTATGCTTTAGTGACGTTGGATCATAATATTGATCATAATGGCTGCAATTAAAGATTGCTTGGCCAAGGACATGATTTGTGTGTGCACTTGATGGCCAAAATCCAGAAAAAACTCTCTAAAATGTGCCCATGGGATGCCCCATACATTGACAAGGCCGTGCTCAAAGCTCGGCTGTCTGACTTTCCCGTCCGAGCCAACAAAGGGAGGAATCAACTCCATTGGCAAAAACGAACAAACCACATTTTGCAACCCCCAAGAAAATGAAACACTTAAATCTTATCAAGAATCGTGGTACTTCTATTCAGTACTTCAACCTTCTTCACATCACCAAGTCTCTCAACCCCGCCACCCATCCTTTTGTGCCAGGTGGCAGCTTGGAAGGCTTCAGCCACACATGCAGTGATATCAAATTTCCGATATCTCCGTGCCTGCGGATCTTGAAAGAAGAAAAACGTGCTGCCATTTGAACCTTACCCAAGCCTCGCGCTAGACAGGGGGTTCTCCAACCATCTCAGGGTGATGCAAAATTCATCTCCCAAAGGTGCACCTATGCCCCTGGAGGATGGTTGTGAGATTGGGAACCTCACCCATAATTTGCTGCCTCTGAACTAATTTGATCGTACACTTCTACGGCTGACTTGAATTTCCCACATTGATGTTGGTCAAATCCCTATTTATTGCCTAAAGAATCATTACAGTAAAATCACCGGAAGAACACATCTTCTTACAGTAATCTTTGTAGCTCTCAGATCCTTGCAGCACAGCTACGGAGTTCAGCAAGTCAAACTTGTAGATCGTTTCAATCTTATCCCCCGGAAGTACCGCATTGGCTGCATCGGCTGTTGATGGAGGTGTCCCTGGCGGCGGTCTGGGTGGGCCGGGACCGGGGCCGGGGCCGGGACTGGGGCCGGGCCTTGTAGCCGGCGTGCATCAGGGAAGAAGCGCAAATAAGGCCTTGCCATGGTGCAGGTTGCGACGGTAAAGGCACCATGTTTTTTTTTACCTCGACTTTGGTCAAACCCTGGAGCGGGTTCACCGACATCGCATTATTCTGATAGAAGTTAAGCTATTGGAAAGCTACGCCCCGCCTGCGTGTGGTAGACAACCCATAGCCCTTGCGTTTTGCCCATTTGCCATAGATTTTGCAATCCTGTCGCACCCCAGCACCAGCATATGCGATTTCCCCGAAGGCTCCTGCAATGGTGGTCCAATCCGCAGCACAGAGTGCTCCAGGGTTCACTGCTTGAGCACATGCAGAGGCTGCCAGGCTCAGATAGGCAGCCACCCAGGACATGCAGGTGATGAAGCCGATGACATTCACAGCACAGCGCACGTCATTTCGGCCATCGCTCACGCACTTCTGGCGACGTTGGTCAATGGCACGATACAAATTCACGATGCCTTCCATCAAATAGGTGGTGGCCTGAACGGTGTCAATCACACACTCCGTGCGGATGAAGGGATAATCCTCCGATGTCTCCTGGATTTCCTGGTAGAACACATCCTGGCCCAAGATGGACCCACAGCCATATTATGATGATGACCATAGTGATATCATCACTGTTTTGAAGAGTTCAATCCCAAAGGTTTGATCAGATTCATTGTTAAATCCCAATGTTTCATTGCTATCCCAACGGTGTGCTGCGTGTGAACAGAACTGCGTCTTTCGAAAAAACTGGCTGCCGCTCTCCTTCAGATTCCGCAGCGGCTGGTCCGGCAGACCTAGGCACAAGGAGGGAAACGAACGACCAAAATGATCCGAAAATGAGAGTTGCAACTGAGCCAAATGGGCAAATCGACCAACAAGACTGGCTGTGTGAAATGGAAATGGAAGAAACCAAGAAAGTGGATGATTCACGAATGTACGTTACATAACCTACCAAAAGTTTCGCCAGCTTTGTGAAGCTAAGCAGCCCTTGGCATGTTCGACGGCATCGGAGACAAATTTCTTGCCCCAAACCTGGCGTTCTGCCGGAATCCCCATATTTTCCTCCTGTAAACTTACAGTTCGATGTGGAGAAGCCACCATTTGAAGATGATGTTCCTGAGAAAACCGGCAGCTTTGCACATCGTCATGTTAGTTTACTAGGGTATTTGTTCATATGAAATCAGCTACCTGACCTGAAGATGCCTGGTTTTTTGGGGGGAACAATCCTGGTCCAGTTTTCTCACAATCCCCCTCGGGAAATGATCGAATCATTCATGGTGGCTTTTGCATATCGGTTTGTTAATTTACTGGATTATTGGCATCAAACCGATTATGGAAATAATCCAGTTACTGGAAATATCCATTTGTTAATTGGTATATCCGATTCCAATTACCCTCTGGTAATCCGCAAAAAAGCTTGCTGGAAAATCAATCTCCATCGACGTATGATTTTAGATTGCCATGTTTGATTCTCAGAGGTAATATCCTAATTATTATTCCATTATATATTATATATATATATATCCCTTCTAAGATTATATCCCATGGTGGTTATATTCCCATTGCATTCCCATCAGTCTCCTGCTATGGAAGTGCAGTGAACCGCCAGTGAACTGTTCGTGGATAGAGGACTCACCATACCTTTTTCGGGGCCTCATGGTTATCCCTACAGCTTTATGAAAATCTTCCAGGCTTCCCATGAAATATCCCCAGGATTCCAGTGAGATCCCAATAAAGCCCCATTAAATCAGTCAGAAAACCCCATTTATACTAGGATCAATTTCATGAAATCCCATATCAGGGAGATATCACTGGGGATTGACAATGGAAAAGCTCATGACTCTTTCTGACATCTTATTGGAATTTAAGAGGGGATCTCAATGGAATCATTAAATCAGTCAGAAAGTCCCATGAAAAATCAATTAGTGATAAAATCCATTAAATCCCATTAAATGAGAGATATTCCATTAAATCCCATGAAATCCCTTTTTTTCCACAGTCAGAAAGTCCGAAAAATCCATGAACAAAACCATAGAAAAATCCCTTTTTTCATGAAGGAGATATCACTATATCATCACTCGAAAGTCCCATTAAAAACCATTAAATCCCAGTAAATGAAGGAGATATCCCTATAAAATTCCATTAAAACTCGGTCAGCATCCCTTTTAAGCCGTCCCCAAAGGGCCGCAGCGCCTCCAGCTCTGAGCCGTTGCTTGGAATGCGCTGGATCAACTCCTCGCAGGTGGCCGCGGCCACATCTATTCGGTCCATGGGCCTGGCCGGTGTTCAAAACCGTTTCGCGGAGAACGGAACTGGGGACATCATGGGATAACTGGGGATATCATCCTTTTTTAGGGAATGAATCATAGGGATTTCATGGAAGATAACTAAGATAACTATCAATTTCAAGGGATTGAAAATGAGATTTTTCATGGGACTTAGTGAAATCTTCATTGGAATAGGTAATGGGTATGGGAATGTCCTGGATCTTTTTGACCATGATAGGATATCCATGGAACATCAATGGGAATATCATGGGAATATGATCGACAATACCCTCCAGTAATCAAACGTGGCACGTAAAAATGCATTCAAACCTCCGGTTTTGATCGTTGCCACGTTTGATTACCGAAGTGGTACCCTAGGGTAAACTAACATAGATGTGGAAAACCAATGATTTCCCATTCCAAGGGCCCAAGGGATCTAAAAGTTGTGGGTTTTCCACATCTATGTTAGTTTACGGGAGGGTAATATAATATCCAATTAATTAATGCCCACCAATAGTCCATTAATATTCACATTTATTTCGCATGAATACCAATTCGGATTTAATATCCACTAGTATCCATTCATGCAGGGAAATAAGTGTCGAAAAAAAAAAAAAAACTGAATCCAAAGTGGATGCGAAGCAAATTTTGTCAGGGAAATTCATTCGTTGATAATGTGTGCTTATAACCGTTCTTTTGGGTGTCTGAAAATTGGGGATTGACCCCACAATTTAAATGACCATTTCTTCATAGGAAAACTGATCGACCAGCTTTAACCATCCTCGATGGGATTCAATTTGGACGGTATTTTCACTACACGCCGTCCTAAAAAACCGATGGATTCAGAGCAGTTGAGCCTCATGTCATGAGGCTCAAAAATGGTTCACCATCCAAACTGGTTAAATGATGTGCACCATCCTAAACTCAATGGATTGCTTTTTGCCTGATATGTATTCAGGCTAAGCCTTAGGTCCTTAGGTCCTTAGGTCCACGCACCCGCAAAAACACTCATGGTCTCAGCTATTGCCTCAGTTTCTATTGCCATGGTGTTTCACTTTCCAAAAATCAGGAACTATTCCACCCCTGTTGCGACATCATGTGACATCAACGATCAAAACTATCCTATCACTATCACCAACCCCATCCCCGTGCCTGCCATGTCCAGTCCACAGCACCAAACCAATCACCGCGGCGGTGATGGAGGCCACGCCGGCCGGCAAGCGGTGGCGCTTCCACGCTCCATCGTGGTGGATCTCTGTTACCTACCGGCGATAAACAAGGCGCAACAAGAATGGTCTTATAGTAGCCACCCAAAAAGATAGAAGAGATTCAATTTACATAAATTTACCACAAATTGTGGTCATTTACCACGATTTTTGGGTTTCAATGTTGCTTTTCTATCTGTTTGGGGGTTGCTGTATATGGTTTTTAATGTTAAGCACTTCAGCAGAAATGAGCCATTGGGTCCTAAGACTTGGGGGTCATCAACCAAAATAGGGGTATCATTCACTATATTTGAATGAGATGTTGGACCCTGAGTCAGGCCACAATCAATGGAAGCCCAGGAAGATACCATTGGCTTGACTGAATCAATGCTAATATCGAGCAGCAAATACAGCCAAGGGCCTCAGCGATCAAAGAGTCTTCAGCATCCCAAGTGTGCTCTGGGCATGGCATTGGCGTTGCTTTGTCGCGTTTCCGGGCGAACCTGTTTGGCCACCCACACGTGTGATTTTCACATCGACCGCTTGAACCAAGAAATGCCATGGAGCAACGAATTCATCACAAGCAGCAACTGCACAAAACTTGGACTCGCTGCTTTCTTGCTTGTCAGAGAGTTGAAAGGGAGAAATGACGAGTTTGACTTGTCACTTTCAGAGATACACCATGTTTTTTTCCCATGACCCAACATTAACTGGCCAAAGATGTTAGAAAAATTGGTCAATTTCGGCACGACCACTGACATCGGGAGACATCTGAGGAGTGCCACGTGTTGCAAACCACCATTTCCGCCACGCTCGGCTCACGACCTAAACGATCCCAAGGGAGACGCACTCCGTGAAGGACATACCGAGGAATTTCAATATCTATCTATCTATCTAATCTAATCTAATCCAATCTAATCTAATCTAATCTAGTCTAATCTAATCTAATCTTATCTTATCTTATCTATCTATCTATCTATCTATCCACCCATCCATCCATCTATACCTATATGTACATATATGTTAACGGTTATGTAAGTTATGTAGCTATTAGTAACTATCGATATGTTCCCATTTATGATCCTTGGTCGTATCTTGGTACTACGATCCATCCGCGGTCGTGTATGATAGGCTGAGAACAAACCACTTCTTAACATAACAGATGTTAGCCAATTTCAGCAAAGCATCCCATTTTGGGCCGTTGTTTGTTTACCATGACTTCAATCATTTTGACCCCATAAAACAAGCGGAAAGGACCGTAGCCTGCTGGACATGGCTCTTGGCCGAGCTCCACCCAACCTAAGGCCAGGCTCGGCTATCTGTCAACGGCCCCTTTCACCAAAAGGTCACAACTTAACGACCACAACGTTTAAGCTGACAAATCCAGAGTCACAAACTAACCAGGATTTGGAATATCAATGCGTTTAAAAACATGTATTTGGAATAAATATGCCGGAATTAGAATAGCTGAAACCAACCACGGTCAGCGGCCTCTGGCGAGTTGGCTGGAGATGGAGAGCGTGATGCAACGTCCTTGCTCTTGGACGCCTTAGCAGCAGCCAATGGATCCATAAACTCGTCTTCCAGTAATGTCAACCCTGCTGCTAAATGATAGTTGACATATGTTGATATTAACTAGTATAACTATATATATGTTGCAAAAAACTAGCAGAACTGTTGGGGTTATTTATTATGTATATCGAACTTACAATTGGAATCCGAGGTTGATTCATCGAAGACCTGTTCTCACATTATTTCTCCCTCTCAATGGTATGTCGCCCTCAGCGTTTCTGGGAACTCTGGTTCAGAAAACCAAACTGTTGAACTATTGAGGGAGCTGAATGGCCCGGGGAAGAAAATGTTTTTACCCCCCTCACTGGCACGTCGCTGCCTCAGTGGTTTTCGATTGTAAACATTGAGGAATGCCCTGAGCGAGATACACGTTCTTAGAAACAGGGTTTCCGAGCGTTCATATCGCATACAGACTTCCAAATGAATTATGAATCCAGGGTTGATAGCGGTAGTCTCGGATATAATGGTGATTAACAATCATGTACTTCTTGGTTGATCAATTGTCGGGTATCTCCCGAAATTTAATAATCTGCTAGAAAAAATGAAACATCCATTCAATGGATTGGTTTAAGGGAAAATCTACAGGAAACCATAGATTTTCCCATTAAATATGGGGCTTTCCTGTAAATTTTCCCTTAAACCAATCCATTGATCCATCAACTGGGTGTCAGTTTGGGATGGGTATGCCGTGAAACATCCATCAAATGGATGCAAACATTGGCAGCACCAACAGCACCAACAGCACCCACAACAACAACAACAACAACACATATGATTTGATATATACATATCATATATATATATGTATCAATGTATATATATATTCAACATATACATGGCGAGCTAATACTGGGCCAATATGTGCCAAGTATCTGAGGTCCAACCATTGGGCTCCCAGGCCAACCACAAGCCAGCCAATCCCAAGCGTTGCCTGGGAAAACGTCACCAGGGTCCCCGTTTCCCCTCTTGGAAGGTATGTTTTTTGGATATCAGGAGTTGGATGGAGATTTCAACGATATTATTTCAATAGTGGACATATCATGAAATATCTGGAAATCTGATATATGGATATTTGATATGCAGAAAAACATGCTGAAATATCTATCAAATAAGTATCTACTATATTATAGATATCAAATGATATCTATATTGATAGAAAGGTCATGTTGTGATATGTGATTTGATGATACATATATATATAATATATATATACATATAATTGCACGGTATCTGCAGCCAGGGAACAGCGTTTGACAGTAGTGAACCTGCCGAGCGTCGCCAAAACGCTGTCGATTACCAAAAAAAAGTGTTTTTTTGGGGTACCAAAAAAAACGTGGAATAGATGTCAACCTGAAAATCATGGGCCCTACATTCGGAAAGCTGTGGATTCCCCGCAGTTTTAGCATTGGCTGTTGAACAATCCTCACCTGCGCCATGGTGTTCATCATCTTCCAGCGGATAATGTGAAGCCTCAGGGGCGAACGACAGTGACTGGTTTCTGCAGGTGTTGTTCGGCAAGATTTTTGGGTATCACTATCAAAATCAGTTCAAAAAGCATGAAAAACATCGCTTTAACAACTCATATACCAACATGTCCTGGATTCTCGGAACATATTTGAGGGGTTCCATAAGAGATTTGACGTACATGCAGAAGAATCTCAATCTTGCCATCTTGGCTAATTGGCATGCTTTACTTACGCCGAGACACCTCATTTCGCCCAACATCAGGAGGTTAGTGTTTAGGCGTTTAGCGTTTATATAGGGTGTTTTCCTGCTTCTTTTTCAGGGTTTTTAGGGTCTAGGGTATAGGGTTTTGGATTTGGGCTGGGTTTTACGGCTTTAGTATGTCAGGGTTCAGGATCATTTGCGCAATGATGCACAAGTCCCTTACCTGCATCTTTCAGGCCAGAATGACCTATGATTTACAGTGTTTTGAGAGTGCCTCGGCCAAACCGAGGTGTTTGCCCTTTTAGTTACAATGGTTTTAATTTTCCTCAAACCCATGGGTGTACACACCAAATATGATGCATGAAATTGCATGGTCACCCAATGACAATTTGTTCAGTTTCCTCCGGAGCGCGATGTTTCTCCCGCAGTCTCCGCTGCTCATTGTTCATTGAAAACCTCAGCCTAGCGCAATCTCAACCTCCGATCCACATCCCGCTGCAAGAAGACAGCCTCCACAGTGCCAAGCCGTGCCGCTTGGTTAAGTGGCTGGGAACGTGCCATTTGAGTTTTTGATGTAGATCTATGTGTTGGATCCAAGTCTGATCCTCCACGTATGGTGCAGAGTCGATGAGTGAAAAAGCCTGCAGCCCTGCGACGACTTTTTTGCCCATAGACAGGCATATAGGATCCTATAAGATTCTATAGGCCTATAGGTCATATACAAAAATTGGGTGGATTTCAAGTTGTATATTACCAAAAATTGGTTGTATATACAAAAATTGGTTGTTTACAATAATCCCATAGGCCTATAAGATCCTATAGATGCCTATAGATCATATACAAAAATTGGTTGGATTTCAAGATCAACCTTTGAAAAACCACAACAAAACGCCACAGAGGTAAGACTTGGTGCCAGTCCTGGCGATAACGCCTCCATGCCGGCTGCAGATTGGACTGCACGACCCTCACTTTGCTGCATGGAGGAGATCCAGGGAGAATAGGGTTGTTAAAACTTTTAAGCATTAGATGGGGGGATGTACTATGATATAGTACTAGTTTTGTTTGGCAAACCCATTCGTTTTTCGTCCTCTTCAATGTTCGAGTCTTGAAAAATGTCTGATCTTCATCATTTCGGCAGTTCAAAAAAAACATGCCAAACAACGCTCTGCTCGACATTCTATGTGCAAAGCGCTGAATCTTAGGAACTGGCTTCTGCAAGGCTAAAATGAGTGGCAACCTGGCTGAAGTTGGCGCACTCGTCTTTTCTGGAACACATGAAGGGACTACACTGGCTGAATTCTACCCCAAACAACCATGTTACACCATGTTCATCGGGAAAATGATGATAAACCAACTGGACATTTGGGGTAACCCTATTCTCAGACAAACCTATTTGGGGTCCGGAATACCTCTTGGGGGTTACCGTTTTTTGGAGCATTGGCAGTCGACTGGCCGGCGAAAGTCGGCGTCTTCCCAGCACCCATCCATGACATGATCAATTAATTTTTTGCTGGTTATGGCCATGGCTAGTTCTTTTCCATTTATAGCAAAAAAATGCAAAAACATTCAAAAATTACACCAGCATAGACCCCAAACAGCAACAACGCATGTTTCCACCAAGGTCATGTGCAATTCAAAATTCATGGAACTGTCTGGCACACAAAAAAAAGGGAGAAGAAGGGAGACAAGCACCGGAACCCCAGCCCGAAGCAGGAGGAACCAGGAAATCCATGATGGAACAGAACCCTTTTCCTGAGAAAAGAAAGAAGAGAGAAGAAGGGAGACAAGCACCGGAACCCCCGCCAGAACGAATATTTCCTGAGGAAAGAAAGAAGAGAGAAGAAGGGAGACAAGCACCGGAACCGCAGCCGGAACCAGAAGGAACCAGCAATCATGATGGAACAGAATCCATTTCCTGAACAAAGAAAGAAAAGAGAAGAAGGGAGACAAGCACCAGAACCAAAGAAGAGAGAAGAAGGGGAGACAAGCACCAGAACCCAAGCCGGAACGAAGACGAACCAGCAAATCATGATGGAACAGAACCCCTTTCCTGAGGAAAAAAAGAAGAGAGACAAGGGGAGACAAGCACCGGTCTCCAAGCCAGAACCAGGGAGAGCACCGGAACCCCAGCCGGCAACAACAGGAACCAGCAAATCATTATGGAACAGAACCCCTTTCCTGAGGAAAGAAAGAAGAGAGAAGAAGGGAGACAAGCACCGGAACCCCAGCCGGAACCAGGATGAGCCAGCAAATCATGATGGAACAGAACCCCCTTCCTGAGGAAAGAAAGAAGAGAGAAGAAGGGAGACAAGCACCAGAACCAAAGAAAAGAGAAGAAGGGAGACAAGCACCTGAACCCCAGCCGGAACCAGGAAGGACCAGCAAACCATGATGGAACAGAACCTCTGTCCTGAGGAAAGAAAGAAGAGAGAAGCAGGGAGACAAGCACCGGAACCAAAGAAGAGAGAATAAGGGAGACAAGCACCGGAACCCCAGCCGGAACCAGGAAGAACCAGCAAATCATGATGGAACAGAACCCCTTTCCTGAGGAAAAAAAAGAGAGAAGAAGGGAGACAACCACCGGAACCAAAGAAGAGAGAAGAAGGGAGACAAGCACCGGAACCCCAGCCGGAACCAGGAAGAACCAGCAAATCAGGATGGAACAGAATCCCTTTCCTGAGGAAAGAAAGAAGAGAGAAAAAGGGAGACAAGCACCGGAACCAAAGAAGAGAGAAGAAGGGAGACAAGCACCGGAACCCCAGCCGGAACCAGGAGGAACCAGCAAATCATGATGGAACAGAACCCCTTTCCTGAGGAAAGAAAGAAGAGAGAAGAAGGGAGACAAGCACCGGAACCCCAAGCCGGAACCAGCCGGAGAGGAACCAGCAAATCATGATGGAACAGAACCCCTTTCCTGAGGAAAGAAAGAAGAGAGAAGAAGGGAGACAAGCACCGGAACCCCAGCCGGAACCAAGAGGAACCAGCAAATCATGATGGAACAGAACCCCTTTCCTGAGGAAAGAAAGAAGAGAGAAGCAGGGAGACAAGCATCCGGAACCCCAGCCGGAACCAGGAAGAACCAGCAAATCAGGATGG